GATTGTGTGACTCCACAAGTAGACGTTTCCTTGTTTGGATCGTTGTCTTTGCTCGCTGTCCTGGGCGTTTTAATTTCCCCCCGGTGAAGGAGGCACAGCAGTGACCTCCTCTAGAGAAGCCTCCTTGACCGTGAGCTGGATAGAAATTGGCGGAGCTTCCAGATACGCTTCTGAGGTTGCTGTGTTTTGTAGGGCCTCAAGCCTGAAGCCGGCTTTCTACGTGCTTTCTGTGCTGAGAGAAGCCTTCAAGATTCTTTCTGATGCCCCAGACCCTGAGGAGATGTTCCTGCAACTGGACAAGACTGACTGGACTTACTCCGGGCCACTCTTGCCTTCTGGCTCCCCCAGAGCCAAGCGCCAGAAGATGGGAAACATCACGATCCAAGCTGACCTCAGCCTAGAGAAGATCAGATACCATCCCTCTATAAGCGACATACTGGGTTGCATGCATTCCCCTGCAAGGAAGTCGACTGCAAAGCCACTTGTGACTTTGGAGGTCCAGTCGCCAGAGTGCAAGGAGAACCCCCCAAGTATGCTGCCCCCAGGTTCCAGGTATGGGTTGACGACTGACTCCCTTTGGGTCTCTGTTAGGAGAGGGTGCAGAGCTGCAGCCTTGGAAGTATTTGCACTGAGTAACCATTCTTCTTTGGCGTTTGCTGGTGTGCACTTCTGTGGCTGAATGTGTCTGCTGCTGTCAGAACCCAGGAGGGGCTCACCTGTAACGGGGCTGTCTTCTGCTTTAGGAAGGCCAAGCAAGCTCCTCTTCCTGTCCTGCAAGAGAAGGAATCCTGGAGCGATGAGGACGAGATCTTCGTGGACCAGCGTGAGTGCATCATTGCTCTAAACTCTGCCAGTAAACCTGAAGGGAATGTTTAGCCTCTCCGCTTGCGTTTCTGGTGCAATGTTGTGTTGTCCTGGCACAACACAAGGCAGAAACACTGTGGCTGCATATGTTGACAAGGGGAAAAAATATTTGCAATACTTATGCTTGCCAACCCATGTGAGTGCTTTCCCCCCTCCTTTTTCCTTTCAGAATCAGCGTGGTCAGTTGGCACCGACATTTCTGGGACTAAGAAGAAGGTAAATGTAACCTAACCCAAGCAGAGACTTCTGAACAAAACCAATTGCTCATTTCTTGTCTCTAAAAGTAATTGGAAAAGTTAGATAGTTATCGCTACTGATAGGGCAGGAATGTGGGAAATGGCTGCTGAGGGGCTTCTCTGCTTTGGCCGCTGCAGTTTCAAGCTTTTTCAGCCTCTCGCAGAATTGGCAAAGCTTGTATCTTCCCCTCATAGACAGATTTTGTTTCGGCTAATATAAAATTAAAACTGTTATGGGTACATAGAGTTCCCCGGGAATCTTTTTTTTTTTTTCATTTTCTATATTTTTATTAATTTTTCTTCAGCAGAATTAAGCTGCAAATGAGGTTTGCCAACCTTGCTTATTCATGAGGGTTTCCATGGTTTCTTTTGCAGTGGACTTTAGAGGAGTCTGCATGGATCAAGGAAGGCGTGGAAAAATTTGGGGAAGGAAACTGGAAAGTTATTTCTCAAAATTATCCTTTTAAGGATCGAACATCTGTGATGATCAAGGACCGCTGGAGAACAATGAAGAAACTGGGACTAAACTGAATTTGAGGGCAGGCTGTGCCTTCAATGTATTGAGTTAGCTGTTGTTGTTGCCTTTAATATGTTATGTAAAATAAGTAATAAAATAGTTTAGTTTGCAGTATAAGGGCAGCTTGCTTTACAGCAATCAGGACATCAGTCAACAGCAAATTAAGCATCATAGAAGAAACAACTGCAGACCAACATAATCAAAGCAAGGGGATAAAAATCAAAACGTTATATAGAATATGCCAGCATCTACAAAATACAGCACCAACACAAAATGTTACGTCTTTGCTGTTTTGGAGCGCAAGGGAGACTCGGCCCAGGACCGGAGCCCATGGTGCCTCCCCACTCTGGACATGGCACCCTTGGAAGGCAGGCCTTTTCACCTTGGCAGCTGCACAGCTTCCCAGGGGGACCCTTTCGCCCCGCCCCGGGTTGCTCGCCTGAGCTAGCAGGCACAGGGCAGCCAAGTGTTGGGCAGGAGCAGCTCAGTTAATGATTAGCTCAGCCAGCTGCGAGGTTGAGTTCCTCCACGGCCAGCTGGCATCCATTTGCCAACATGCTTGCCCTGTTCCAGATGGTGGGGCTCCTGGGTTTGCTTCAGGGGCTGCATCTCGCCCACTGCCAAGAGCGGAAGCAGCCGGGGGGGTCCCACAAGCAGCTTCTCCCCCCCAAGAGGGACCAGTATGACTTTGCCATTGTCATCCCTGCAGGTGGTATCGAATGCCTCTGGCAGTTTGCATACCAAAATGGCTCCTTCTTCTTCAGCTATGAGGTGGGTGACAGTGGGGGGAGAGGCAAAGGGGAAGCCCGCCGACCAGTGACCTGTGAGTTGGGTGGAGCAGGAAGAATCCTCCATTGGGAACAGCAGAAAAGCTCAATTATTCCAACAGGATTCTGCCCAGCATCTCTCCCCCCGCCCCTGGATCCCACAGACCTAGCCACCCTGGGGGGAGGGTCCCTTGTACACCTGACTTCTTCCCCAGGCAAAGCAGAGGGAGGGGGCAGGGAATTCTGTTGAGATCCCTGTCAACATATGCCTGGAAGCAGGTGGTGCAGACCTGCCAAAGCAGAAGCCAGGCAGTTGCAGGTTCAGAGCGCCTGAATCTCAACAATGCCTCTTGTGCTGCAGGAGCTCAGGGGGTGGGGAGGATGTCTCCACCACCCAGCCCAAACTGCCTACACGAGGAATCCCTTCATCTGTTCCCAGCACCCCTGAGCTTCCATGCTGCTTGGGAAGGGTGTGCCTGTGTGTGTGGGGGTGCTCTTCCCCCCTGCCATACAAATTGTGCCTGCCCCCCCCCCCCCAGGGATCTTTGTGCAGGCAAGAGGGCCTGCAGGGGAACTGTGACCTAAGAATCAATGCAAGGCAACCGGAAGATGCCGGCATCTGGGCATAACAGGGTCATTGCCCCAGTTTGTCCTTCATGGTTTTACTTGGGTCTCTCTTGCTTCCAGGTGCAGAAGACTTTAGGCCTTGGCCACGACAGGCACATCCTGGCAACTGTGAATGATCCCAGTGGCTTCCACCTCGGCACTTCCCAGGATGTGCGGGGACAGATCAACTTCCCGGTTCAGGAGACAGGTGCCCCATTGTTGGCTCTGCAAAGCTCCATCAAGGTGGCTTCTTAAATGAGTCACTTTTTTGTGGTGCCACGTGGCACGGACAGGCCACCCTGTGCTTGTTTCAGCATGGCACCTTCTATGAAGACAACATTTGGGCTCATTAGTCATGGTTTAGGGAGCCTAATTCACCTCCCCCCTCCCCCCAAGTACATTGAAGCCCATTTCTAGAATGCCAGAAGCAGAGGCTGGTGGAATGGCATCTGCCAGACCTCTTCCAAAAAGACCTATCTGGAGCTCCTATTGCAGATTCTCCCCTTCAACTATCCTCCACTTGATGGCTCCAACATACTATTTGAGCCTCATTTGGGTGCCACCCTATAGCTTTTTAAATGCAGAAATCCTAGTTCACATAACCTTTTCTCAATTCTGAGAGCTGAACACCAAATCCAATTCCAATTCACCCCTCCACCCAATTTGTCAGTATTTTTGTGCTTGAAACTGGAAAATTGCTAGGAAAGATTGAAAGCCTTCTGTTTGAAAGGGAAAGCAGAATTAACCACGGATACAGCTTTCCTTCTGTCCTTGTAGGTACTCCATTTATTATACATCACCTACCCAACACAGCTGAGGGCAGGCAGCATCACAGGAAATGTCCTTGAGGTTTGATTAATTCTCCCTTACAGGCTTCTACCAGCTGTGCCTGAGTAATCGATACAACCATTTTGGAACTGTGCAAGTGTATCTCAACTTCGGGGTCTTCTATGAAGGCTTTGATCTAGAAACTGAGCACCAGAGGATGGAACTCAATGGCACTCTGGAAGCAATTGAGGTAACTAGTTTAAGTGCCTAAAATAAAAGCAGCAGGTAATAACCTTCATTAGCTATCTAGAAAATCCATTATGGGGTATTCCAAACTTTTTCTCAGGCATCTGGGTTTCTGGTATGTTTGGGTCAGAACTTCCTTTGTACATCAGCTTAGAAGAGATAGCACAACACTGGAAAAAGGGGGAGATGTCCTTTTCCTCTAAAAGAAGCAGATTCCTGTGCCAGGAACTGAATCTGAACCTTTTTTCTTCTTATCCAAAATAGAAGAGCACTACCAAGCTGATGGCCAATGTCTTCCACATGCGGTATTACTACAACTTTGCTCGAATGAGGTCAAGGACAGACTTCAACCTTCTCCAGTCCAACTATACCTACATGAACTGGTGGTCAGCAGCTCAGAGTGTTGCCATTGTGCTCTCTGGCATCTTTCAGCTCTGTTTCCTCAAGAGCTTCTTTGCTATGCAGCCCAGCAACAAGCCCAAATGCTGAAGCTTCAGTAGGACGCAACGCCAAGCCCCAAAGCAGCTGGGCCCCACCTTCGGCTATAAAGCCAAGGAGGGAGGAATTTGTAGCCTTTTCAAGGCTGAAATTTGTTAATAGGATAATAAATCCAAGAAATTCTCTTTAGGTGAACTGTTTGACTAGGAACAAAATCAGCCTACGTTAAAATAAATATTAACTCAAATTTAAAAATACACTGTGCTACAAGACAGTTGAGACAACTTACATAATCCAAATAGAACAGGGACATCTTTTATGAGTATATGCACAATTTTCTTTGCCTTGAGATGCAACCTTCTAGGAAATGCCTGTAACTGCCCAACTAATAATGTAAAAGGAAATGAGTGCATTCACTCTGCTAAAAGTAACAGAAATGGCATCTTTATCAGCTCCCAGAGCTCAACATGAGCACAACATTGTGAATAACAAATAATCAAACTAGGAATTGTAGCTTCATCCCAAAATTTTACAAGTTGTCCAACTAGCAAGCTCCGGTACTGGTCACGTGTCCTTCCAGGTTACACAAAAAGGGGTTCAAATAATCCAAACCACGGTGGTTTTTAAGGTTTCCGGCTGCCAGAGAGGGTGGGAAGAATTCAGCCCTGTTTATTAAGTCAGCGTCTCCTCGTGTCGTATGTACTCGCCTATATCTGCTTGATGAAATACTACAATTGCCATGGGATCCACTTTTCGACACTCCTGGGTGGTTTTGGCTGCCACCCCGAATCCCTGCAGGAAACAAAACCAGTGATGTGAACAATGCCACTCTTCTCTGTATCAGGACCCACCCAAATCCAAAAACCTGCACAACTCACCAGAGGAACATCAGCCATAGAATACACCACCACTCCTTGGTACTGAGCAGTGCTCTCAGTGATGCGCCCCAGACCAGATTTCAGGAGGTGGTTCCCATAAAGGAAAGACTGCTCTGCCCCAGGCTTCACCCAGACTTTGTACTGCAGGAGAGAAACAGAATGACCCACTGAACTCTAAAGCCTCAAGAAGTGGTTCCTTGCATGATAAAATGACCTCTTCAAGCCGCCTGCACTGAATTCAACAGATATCGCTGGTTCATTCCCAGGCCTCGCTGCTCTTAGACTGACTACTGCAGTAAAAATGTTACTGTCCCAAGGCAAGCCAGTTGACATTTTGGCCCTTTCCCTTTTTCATTTTGGAGCACGACAAAAATGCTCTCTCAGAGAAAATGCTTCTGAAATAAAATTAGCATCAGCCCACCTTTACCTTGGCATAAGGGGCGAGGTAATCCAGGGCAGTGATATGGAGCCGGAATTTCTGGGTCTTGGTGAATTTTCCAAAACAGGAGCCCAGCGACACCAGGTTGTCCCGTGGAATATTTGTAGCTAGTTTCAGCAGTCTCTCGCTGGAAATCACAACGGAGGAGAGTCACCGGGGAGGCAGGACCAGGTTTCAGTGGGCCAATCTCAAAACCGGTGGGGCAAGTGGAGGGCCAGCCAGCCACTATTCCTTTGGGCCCTCTGTAAAGCTGGACCGGGCTAGATGGACATCAGCCCCTCAACCTTTCCATGCTGGAGGAACCGCTGAAATCGTTGCCCCCAAGCCTTCACTTCCAACCCGGGTTGTCGGCGGTGACATACAAGACGGAGCCGCCCTCCCTCCCTCCCCTCCCCTCCCCTCCTTTGCCTCGCGGGCCCCGCCGACCTGAGGTAGAAGACGCGGTCCTTGTGCAGGCGGAAGCAGTAGGTGCCGTCCGGCCGGTCCACCAGCAGCTGGATGTTCTCGCCGACGCTGCGAAGGGGAGAGACAGGTCGGCCGAAGCAGCCCCCCGCACCCCCCTCGGAGCCTCTGCCAAGCCCTCCCCGCCCGGCCTCCCCCCAGCCCAGCCGCTGGCTCCGCCTTCCGCGGGCACCGGCACCGGCACCGGCACGTACTATCGGGCAAGCTTCTCGAAGAGGACGCGGGTCTCCTCCTCCGTCAGCGGCCGCATCGCCCCTCCGAGCACCGCGTGGCCCGCAAGACGGGTCCCGGAAGCGGGTCCCGGAGCCGGAAGTTGCTTCACTGCAGGAACAGCCAATCCGCCCTTGCTTCATCACTAGAGAGTGCCAGAGAACGTCGGGATAGAGCGGCCAGGACCGAAAGCAGAAGTGGCGACGGAAGGGCCCCGGCGCCCCGGTTGCCATAGCGATCACTTCCTGGTCCACGTAGACTCCGCGATGGCGGCCTCGGAAGCGGTGGCCTCGGGCAGCGCAGCGGACGTGGAGGAGGCGAGCCTGCTGGCCTGGCTCTTCCGCGCGGCACCCTCAGCGGTGCCAGCGGGGGACGCGGAGCTGCCGGCCTACCTGGCGGCGCTGTCGGGGCTGGGGCTGGAGGCGCTGCGGCGGGAGCCCGGGCGGCTGGCGGAGGAGCGGGCGCAGCTGGGGGCGCAGACGCGGGCCTTGGCCTTCGCGCACTACAAGACCTTCATCCGCTCGGCCGAGTGCACCGCCGAGACCCGCCGCGGCTTCGGCGGCATCGAGCAAGGCCTGGGCCGCCTGCTGGACCGCCTGCCGCCCTTCGCCGAGGCCTGCCGGTGAGCCGCCCCGTCCCGGCCGGGGGGAGGCGGGGGGGGGGCGCCGGCCAGGCCCCGCCCGCTGACTCGCCGCCTTCTCCCGCAGGGGCTTCATGCGCCACGCGGAGCAGATCGCGCAGAACCGCCGGATGAACAACGTGACGCTGAACCGCCACACGGAGATCCTGGAGGTGCTGGAGATCCCGCAGCTGATGGACACCTGTGTCCGTAACAGCTACTACGAGGAGGCGCTGGAGCTCGTCTCCTACGTCCGCCGCCTCGAGAAGAAGCACGCCGGCATCCCCGTTGTCCAGGTGCGATCGCGACAGGAAATGCTTTGAACTTTGAACCAGGCTCTGCTCGCTGTGAACTTGACCCGAGGGCTTTGGGGCGAAGGCTTCATTCTCTTCAGCAGGAGAGGCCTTAGTGGTGAAGTAGAACTCCAACTGGGAGGAAGGAGCAAGAAGGCGAAGCAAAAGTTTTTCCACAGCTTTTCTTTTGATTTGTAAAATGCTGGTTACTTTTATACTCAGAAATTTGGAATGATTCAGGACCAAGGGCCTTTTGTTACATGACTGCTGTGTATATGCAGTTGCTCAAGCATCCCATAATCAACCCTATCTCACCATAGACATTTCAGGCTGGCTGGCACTAATATTGCCAGAGCACGTCTATGGCAGTATTACTGCACTGTGCCCAAAGGGCCTTGTGGGGTCCAGAATTAGAACTGGGGTATGCCTCTTGCATGGTCTTGGGAATCTATTTTCAGAGCCTATTTTCTGCCCCACTAAGAACAGCTTTTCTCTCCTTCCCAGGGCATAGTGGCCGAGGTGCGTCAGTCCACACAGCTCATGCTTACTCAACTGATCCAGCAGTTACGTACCAACATCCAGCTGCCTGCTTGCTTGCGTGTCATTGGCTACCTGCGCTGCATGGATGTGTTTACAGAGGCTGAACTGCGCATCACGTTCTTGCAAGCAAGAGACTTCTGGCTGCGCTCCATCCTTGCGGCTGTTTCTGATGATGACCCCTATGTGCACATCACAAAAACAATAGAGGCCTGCCGCGTGCATCTCTTTGACATTGTCACACAGTATCGTGCCATATTTGCAGATGAAGAGCCGCTGGTTCTGCCCTTGGGGAAGGACACCTTCAATGAGAGTGCCATCTTCCACGGGTGGGTGCTGCAGAAAGTATCCCAGTTTCTGCTGGTTCTTGAGCGAGACTTACAGCGTGGCGTGGGCAATCGCCTAGACTCTTTGCTGGGCCAGTGCATGTATTTTGGCCTGTCCTTCAGCCGGGTAGGGGCAGACTTCCGGGGCCAGCTTGTTCCCATTTTTCAGCATGTGGTACTCCTTGCCTTCAAGAAAGCTATGCAGGAGGCCACAGACCAGTTCCAAGAAGAGATGAATTCCTACACATTGATCTCTGCGCCAGCTCTCCTGGGCAGTGCCATCTCTGTGCCAATGCCTTCTGCCCAGCCAGGCACCTTGCAGCCCCCTCTGGTGCTACTAGACTTTCCCCCCCTTGCCCATTTACTCAACAACATCCTGATGGCCTTCAATGATTTGCGTCTCTGCTGTCCTGTCGCTCTGGCCCCAGTTGTGGCAGCTCTCCTGGAGAACGTACTCAGCCAGGTACTGCTCTCTATCTTAGACTGGGAAAAGTATTCTGTGTTTCTCAGTGATGAGATCAATTCTTTGAATGGCTATTCCAGAAACTTGAATGCATTCTTCCCATTTTAAGCTGAGCTTCTTAGAATCTCTCATAGGCTCTTGGTGGCTGGTGGATTCTGTCTAATTGTGTCATGAGCTGCCTGTGGGGAGTGATATTATATCTGCCTGGTTGGCTAATTCGTAGGATTTTTTAGTGTCTAATTTTCAACCAGTTGCTCTGAATTTATAGACCAAAGGCTTCTAATGAGTCTTTTTTCTCACCAGGGTGTAAAGATCATTCTGGCTTTTCATCGAGCGGAGGCGGCAGCATTCAGCAGTCAAGAGCAAGAGCTGTTTGTTCAGTTCTGCACAGCCTTCCTGGAAGACTTGGTGCCATACCTCAACTGCTGTCTCCAGCTCCTCTTCCCTCTAGCCCAGATCGCACAGATTCTGGGTAGTTACCTTTACTTCCTTGCAGGAGGAAGCGGGTAGAAGTGGAGCCAACTTTATTGCTCTTTGGAGCTAGGCCTGGCCCCTTGTCTGTTGAGATTGTCAATCATCCAGGCCACGGTTGTGCCACAGGTGCTTTTTATGAAAGGCCACTGGACTTGCTTTGTGTCTTCTTTGAGCATCAAGAATGTCTAATTGCCTTTAAGAAAAAGCAGCTCTGGGAAAATGGGCCTGCCAGGTGCCTGGGAGGGAGGGAGGGAGGGACCCCAGACTTGGAAAGCATAGACAGGAACCTTCTCTGGGATTTAGGATTGACGGAAGAGTCTAGTTTCCCAATTTTGTGTTTGTTTCCTGCCCTGCTAGGTGTTCCTGCTGCTCGGGTCCATAAATATGGAGGTCTCGCCTGTGTAGATGAGGAGGCAATCCAGGAGCTCCTGGGCTCAGTCCTTCCCAAGAAAGAGACCGCTCTCCCCCTGACAGAGAAAGGGCTGGCCCTACAACTTCCCCTGGACTTGGGACTCTCTGGCTCAGAGCAGGAGGAAGCAGATCCTAGCCAGGCCGTCTCCGTTTCTTCAGCTGCAGAGAAGAGCCCCCTTCCTGAGGATGCTCGGCCGCCCAGTGGCGTCTCTGCCACAGCATAGCTGGTGGAGGTTTGGGGGGCTCATCTGCTAATGGAGCCTTAGCCCCCACCCCGCTCTCCCCAGGCCAGGCAAGGGCCTGCCTGCTGTTTCTGGCCGCCTCCTTTGTCAAGCAGGAAGGGAGGGGGTGGGGGGCGCAGGTGCAAGAGAAGAACCGGGAGAATAAAGAATAAAGGGCGTGGTTTGCTTTGTCCCCCTTGGTATTTTCATTGTGGGCGGGAGGCGGGGCTTCCAGGGGGAGGGGCTTCAGCGCCTCCGTGCGAGCACCTATGCGCTTGCGCGATCCGGTGTGCTCCCTCAGCCCCTTTCCTCCTGCCGCTGGGGGGCGCCTGCCCTCTGAGCTGGCTGATGGCGGCGCGGGGCTGCAGTCGCGGGCTGCGGGGCGTCCTCCGGGCCGGGCCGGTCCCGGGCCGGCCGCGCGGCCTCGCCTTCTCGGGGCGGCCCTGGGCGGAGCCCGGCGCCTGGCAGCGGCTGCGGCGACGGCTGCTGGGCCCGTGCGAGCCGCCCTTCCAGCGCGTCTGTCTGGTTGGCGACCCGGCGCTGCGCGGCATGGCGGCGCCGGTGGAGCCGGAGCGGGTGGGCAGCGCGGAGGTGCAGCGGCTGATCGCGCGGCTGGTGGCGGTGATGCGGCGGGAGGGCTGCGTGGGGCTGAGCGCGCCCCAGCTGGGTGTCCCGCTGCAGGTCTTCGTGGCCGAGTTCCGCGGGCCGCCGCTGCCGGAGGGGCTGCGCGCCCTGGAGGTCGCCCCCTTCCCGCTGCGCGTCTTCGTCAACCCGGCCATGCGGGTACTGGACAGCCGGACCAGCCACTTCACTGAGGGCTGCGCCAGCCTGCCCGGCTTCTCGGCCGTGGTGGCCCGGCACATGGGCGTGGAGGTCTCAGGTGAGGCGGGGGCGAGGCCAGGCGGCCGCTGGGGAAGAGGTGCCCTGCTCGCCCCCGGGACCCCAAAGCAGGCCCCGCCGGGGGCTTCCTCTCTCTTCCCCCCCCCACCCCCTCCAGGACTAAACGAGGCTGGAGAGCAGGTCGCGTGGCAAGCCAGGGGCTTCGCCGCCCGCATCGTTCAGCACGAGATGGACCACCTAAAAGGGATCCTCTACGTGGACAAGATGGAGAGCGGGAGTTTCGCCTGCTTGCATTGGGCCAAGGTCAACCGATGAGCAGCTCCTTTCAAGCCGGGGGCGGGTGGGCGCTTGCCAAAGGCACCTGCTCAGCCTTTGCTGCCTTGCTAGTAGTTGCTAATAATTTCTGTGTAAACTCCAGTGGAAAAAAAGAATGTTGTAAGGCTTCATTTCCAGCACTTTATTCTTCAAAGCACAAGCCATCTCTCTCCATACAACCTGTCACTTTAAATCTGTATCTACATGTGGGCTGGGCTGTGGGAAAGCAGTCCTTCAGCCCTGTTAAAGTACAAGGCAGGCCTAAAGCTTAGATCAACAATGGTGGGGTGGTACGCGCCTCTCCGTGGCACAAATTCACCCAGGCAAAAAACAATGGGCCTGACCCTGGGCAGGGGGGTGTGGGTGCGTGCGCTCATATCCTTCTACCTCTGCCTGCTCAGCTGGGCTAGAAGGCAACTCTACTTGGCCAGAGGTGGCAGAAAGAAGCTTCCTTGGGACTTGCCCGAGCCTTACAGGGAATCCCACCCGTGTCCCGTCAGTGGGAGCCAAGCCACCATTACTCTCTCCTTTGCAAAGTAATACGGGAGGCAGGTGCAACTGCAGGGCTGCAAAGGAGTTACAGCTGCTACCCCCTCACTGACCCAACAGCAAGCATGCACCCAGGAGCAAAGCTAAGGCTGATGACCTTCACCAAAGGTGGCGGGGAAAATTGTTCTGAGAGCAAAAGGGGTTTGGAGAGGACGGAAACTGAACGTCGGCAAAACATGCCAGAACCCAACAAAATAGCACAAGTGAACGTGAGGTGAGAGACGGAGAAGGAAAGGCCGCTCTGGGAGAACCCCTGGTCCTCCTTGGAGGAGCAGAAGTGGACTCACTGGGTGGCGGGGAGGGCTGAGGAAATGGCTGGGAGCAGAAGGGAGTTGGGCTGCTTTTATTTTTGATAAGAGAAACTAAGCATGGGAAATCAAAGAAAAAACCCAGGAAAGAGATGGGGTATTTGACGGGGATAAAAACAAGGCAGTCCAAGCCAGGCTTGCTCTTGTCCCTTGGTAGCCCCAGTGGATCCCTTTCCATCCCCAACCAGAGAGGCTCCAGCGCAGGCAGATGGAGAACAAAGCTTCTGCCTGGCAGAGTCCTCCAGCAGCTCCTGGTCGCTTCCGCGCAGGGCCAGGAAAATGGGCCCTTGGCTGCTCCCATCTAACAATGGGGCGCCCCACGGGTACAGCATTAACCCTCTTGGCCAAAGTCTTCTGTGAACTTCTTCACCTTGAGGAGGTCTTCCGCATTGACCGTGGGGCGGGTGGTGGCCAGCGAGCGCAACATATCTGACTGCAAAGAGAGAGAACGTTCAGAACCCCCCCAGCCTCCAGCACCTCCGCAGGATCCCTTCATGCTCCGTCCTGCTTTGCGAACCCACATTCCACACAGAAGCACCAGGTGTACTGTTGCAGATGTTTTGCCTAAGCCAGGAGGAGGGGAGGAAATGGGTTTTGTCACAACCGCTCACCATGCAGACCAGCGGCTCCAGAAGTTTATCTCCAGGCACCTCCATCCAGGTCATCTCAAGGGCCCCAGGATCCCCTGGTGAACACGGAGTCAGCAGGTCATCTACCAGCACACCAGGATTGGCGCGAGAAGGTCCATGAACCTGCAGGAAGGATACAAGCAGTAGGCAGATCAGGAGGGTTGTCCAATTCACAGGTGTGGGAAAAGGGGAGAGGCCGGCAGACGAGCCCCCCACCGTCAGCCCCCCTCTGCTCTCCAATAACAGAGGTCCAAGGTGGTGGCAAAGACTAAAAGGGAGCAAGCCGGTCTTGGGACTCTCCTGCCAGACCACAGAGGCCTTGTAGGCTGTGGCCATTGCTGCCACTGAACGACGGGAACAAGGCCTGCCGGGTTCAGTGATCCTCCCCACAGAAAGAAACAGCTGTAAAACAACCAGATGCCCAGTGGGTAAGCTTGCTGCATGACGGAAGGTGGGCAGAGCTCATCCCTTTCACTGCCAAAGTGCTCCGCTTTGTACCAGAAGTCATCAGGGTAGCATAGTTACACACAGAGACGCACACACACACACACCGCTCTGCCCGTCTCACCTTTTTAAAGTGCGTGGCTGACTGCACTTTGCGGACAGGCTGCATCAGGGCATCCCGCACAATGATGCTGATGTCAGCCCCCGAGTAGCCATCGGTCTTTTGGGCCAGCTCGTGAATGTCAGCTTCAGTCAGGCTGTGGGGGGTGTTGCCCAGGTGTAGCTTAAACATCTGGGCACGAGCCAGCTCCTCTGGAAGCGGGATGTAAATGCGCTTCTCAAACCTATGCACGAGGGAGGGAATGCACGGGTCATTCTCCAAAGCTGGGTTGCATGGCATGGCCGTGCCTCCATGCGCACCTCCCCACCCCCACCTGCCCTCTGCTACAAGCCCTTGAGGGAATGCTGACAGTAACCCCGCTCCTCTGGGGCAGTTTCAGCCTTTGGCCAAGAGGCTAGTAAGAAGGTTAGCCTTCAGCCCAACGTCCACTTAGTTCAGTTTCTTCTTGTGCCTCTTTGTATCAGTAAATAAAACAGACCTCCGCTCCTGCTCCCTTCAGGGCTCCGTGGGTGACACTTGTCCCTGAAGAGGATGCTTATTCCAAGCCCCACCCTGGGCACTGCCAGCAGCCCTCCCACCTGAGGATTTTTCAAGCTGGCTGAAGCTAGCTATGTGCTGCACCTGGTGCGGTGCACACAGCACAGCACTACAGCCAGACCTACGCAGGGCAGAAATCACCCATCATCTAACAGTGACTTTGAAAGCCACACAATATGCCTACAGTGTGAGGTTGAGGAACTGCCTTATGAAGTAAGCAGGAAGACTTTTTCCTGTTTAACAGTTTTTTATTCAGAGAACTACAATCTGTGGACCTGAATTTCGGCTATCTCTACTTACACAAAATTGGTTTCTGCCAGGCTAAACTCACCGATGCACCCACTGCTATCACCCACCTTCTCCGAATGGCAGCATCCAGTACCCAGGGAATATTGGTGGCGCCCAAGACCAAAGTGCCATCGTTATTATTCCCAACACCTGAGAAAAAAACAAGAAGTGCTGCATGTCACTCTTACTGGAGAGCAGCGCCCCCCCCCCCCCTTCCTGGCTCTGACTGCTCAGCTCTGGCCACTGGCCCGAGAGCAGCGGGCGCTCTGGACTGCTGCCCTGGTGCCCATCACCTACCCTGCATTTGCACCAGGAATTCTGTTTTGATCCTGCGAGCAGCTTCGCTCTCGTTCTCATTGCGGGAGCCACACAGAGAGTCCACCTCATCGATGAAAATGATGGACGGCTTGTGCTGCCTGGCCAACTCAAAGAGGTTCTTCACTAGCCTACAGAGGGAGCCAGGCAAAGTGAGGAGAGGGCCAGGACGGCCCGTGTGCAGGTGGCCCAAACAGCAGAAGGAAACGCCTCACGGAGACCCACCATGCTGCCCCCTTTCACCCCTGTCCCACTTCTCCAAGGGCCAATGCCCCACAGATAAAGCCCCGCCCGCCCCACCTACTTTTCACTCTCCCCCAGCCACTTGGACACCAGGTCTGAAGATGAGATGGAGAAGAAGGTGGAGTTGCTGGCCTCGGTGGCCACTGCTTTGGCCAGGAAGGACTTCCCGGTTCCTGGGGGGCCGAAGAGGAGGATTCCACGCCAGGGTGTGCGCTTGCCTGGCCGAGGAGAGGAGAGGAGATGGTTTCATTCATCCCAAAACATCTCCGAGAATGCGGAGAGGGGCCCTTGGACTCACCTGTAAACAGGTGAGGGAATTTGATGGGCAGGATGACAGCTTCCTTCAGGGCCTCCTTGGCCCCCTCCAGGCCAGCTACGTCACTCCATCGCACGTTGGGCTTCTCCATCACGATGGCACCTGCAGCCAAGGGGTTTGCCCCAGAGGGCTGAGCTGAGTACTCCCGCCCTCCCTCCCTCCCTCCCTCCCTCCCGGGCAGGGCAGAGCGAGCGTGAGGGGGGCAGGCTTACCCATCAGCTGCTCTTGCAGCTTCTTCTTCTCCGGGTTCTCGCCCTCACTGTCGCTGTCGCTGCTGCAGGGGGAGACATCCAGAGGCCCTGAGCAGGGCAAGCGCCCCTCTCCCGTCGGCCGGCCGTGGCAAGGCAGCGCAGGGCCCCCAGGTGGCCCGCCCGTAGCCTTCCTGGGGGGAGGCCCCCTCCGGCCCTTACCCCTTGCTGTCATTCTGGGCCTCCTTGACCGGCTTCTTGCTCTGTTTGCTCTTGTTCCGCAAATAGTCCTTCAGCTTCTCGGCCCGGTCCAGGTACTGGGCACACTTTGCCCGGATGCTCTCTTTGGCCTTGTCACTGTGCGCATCATCTGCGGGACAGACCGGACGGATGGGGCGCTGGGACCTGGGGCTCCTCCCCTCCCCGCCCCCCGCCCCCCGGCCCCTGGGCCTGCCCTTCCTACCAGCCCCTCGGGGACTCACACTTGATGGCGTGCAAGAAGTACTCCACCGCATGCTGGTACAGGCGCAGCGCTTCCTCGTAGCTGCCCGCTTTGTCCTCCTCGGTGGCTTTGGTGACCAAGTCAATGGCTTTCTGGAAAGACGGGCAGGCTCAGCCAGGCCCCTCAGCGGCCGAGAGGGCAGCCGGGAAGCCGCCCCCCCCGCCGCGGCCCTTCCTTCCCCCGCAGCGCCGCTCGGACACCGAGACCCCTTTCGGGGCGCCGGGAGGCTCAGGATCGGGCCTGTTCCGCTCTCGCCCCCGGAGGAGCCGCTCGGGAGGGGACGGGCGCCCCGAGAGATCCGGCGCCTTGCACGGGCCGCGGGGGCTGCGGGAGCGTCCGCGGAGGGGCTCGCCTGGGCTGCTGCCCGAAGGGAGCCGGGGGGGCGGGGGGCGCTCAGGCCCCGGGCCGGCGCAAATCAGGCCCTCCCACCAGCTGGTCCGCGCGAAGTGAGCAGGCAGAGGCCGCGGCTGCCGCCCCCGCCCCCCCCCCCCCCCCCCCCGGAGCCGAAGGCCGGGCGGCTCGGCAGGCCTGGAGCCGGGAGTGGCGCGCGTGCCGGGCGACGGCCCTACCTGCAAGGCGGACGTGGTCATCGCATCCCTGCCCGCGGCGTCGTCGTCGTCGTCGTCGCGGGGGCTCCGGGGCGGCGTCGCGGGGCTCCGGGGCGGCGGCGGTGGCGGCGGCCTCGGTCCGCAGAGCGCCCCTGCAGGGCCGGCGCGGGAACAGCAACGCGCGGGGCGGTCCGACACGCCTCTTCGCTGGCGCGCGGGCCGATGGGACTTGTAGTCCGCCGCCCAAGCGCCGCTGCTCCCCTGCGCCGTCCGTCCCGGCCTTCCAGCAGTGCCCCTGCGCAGAAAGGCGCCTCCCCGGGGCCTCTCCTCCCATGCCCGCCGCGACCCGGGCTCGTCCCAACCGCCCCCCCCACCAGTTCTGCGCCTCCAAGGCCCCCTCGCCCCGCTCCCAATCCAGGTCCCGCTCCCCCCAAAGACGCAAAGCAGCAGCCGAGGCTAAAAGGAACAGCACTTTATTATACACCTGCCCTTCGCGCCTCTCATTGTCACGTACAAGGCGACAGAGCGAAGAGGGGCAACTCGGGCCGGAGCAGCCAGGCTTTCTGCAGAGACTTTGGATGGGAACCCGGAGACCCCCCCAAAGTTGCATTTAAAATCATTGGAAAAGCAAGTCATTGTATAAATACCATGTAAGAAGAATTTAAAAAATAAAGCTGGTTGTACATTTAAGATTTGATTGTGGCGGCATCTCTCTGTTGCAACACTCCACATTAGGTTATAACCAACAGCATGCCAACATACAGCTTTGCACAGCATTAACACAGACACTTGATTGTAGTGATTTCTGTGCAAAATTTCAAGACGTCTTTGGCACTTTGGGCCTGTAACAGTTGTGTTTGCCCTATCTGTAAACTCCCGACATCTGACAGAAGGTGGGAAACCACAGCCAATCACTGTTGTGTCATGGAACAAAGGTGTCCACTTGGCGAGAGGCGCCACCCTGGTTCAGTAATTAAATTAATGAATTAAAGTCTTTCCCTGGCCAAACACTGGCAAGAAGAAAACCCTGAAACCTGTTCTTGCCTCCCACCTCCAATTCTGCACCGATGGAACTCCGTCCCCCACTCCTGCTTTACGCTCCTCATCAATTCAGGGTCAAAGCTCTCAGTGCAACGGGCTCCTGCCTCCACTTGCAACAACATCCTTGGGCTGAAAAACTGGAACCGGCGTTGCTAGGAAAAGTGCTATGTAGAAACGGGTGAGGACGGGACGCTCAAGCTGCACTTCCAAACCTGTATTTTTAAATGTTTGCCTCAATTTGGTAATAAAGTTCATCACTGTGATATAAAAGCACTATTGAAAACCTGCTAACGCCAGCCAGATTTCTTCCCTCAATGTCATTCATTCATACCACCAGCCCCAGCCCCAGCCGCAAATGCCCCAGGACCCTTTTCTGAAGCACGCAGGAGGGTCCCTGGCAGCAACCTTGAACGGGAGCCTGGCCAGTGGACACAAGCAGCAAATGATCCACTGCAACTCCTTCGGCCCTCTGTCCAAAGGCAGCTGGAGGCTTGAAGGGAAGCTGCTTACGCCCAACTGAAGGTGACTAGGAAAAGGCATTCTCTCCAGAAAGTGACTCCAGCACCATTAAACATTGGCTTTTGATGCAGAAAAGGGCCAGGAACCATCCTTGATCGCCTTGAGGTTTCCTAATTCTGGCCCTAACAGAGCAGCCAGACACCCAGGACAAGGGCCCGAGCGCCAGCCTTCCCCTGGTGCTTAGAGGGCCCAAATCCTTCACAGGAGGAATCGGGGAGCCTTTGGCCCCCTCCTTCCTTCCCCTGGGCCAAGAGGGTCTCTGACTTGCCCAGGGACCTAAAAGGATGGAGGCTCAAAGGTCAGAGGAGAGGGCCGTTCCCTTCCCAACTGATGCCAAGGCCCATTCCAGACCGCAGGCACCAGCAGCAAAGGAGGCGGCGACCTCTGGCTCTACTCCCGGGCCTCCATGGCAAGATCCCTGTCCTTTCTGGGCCTAGGGGGAAGGGAGGGCCTATTTTGTGGCTAGTCTGCATTGGCAGGTGCTGAGTGTTTTTTGAAATGCCCCCTTAGGAATTGCGGATACATTCACTCAAGTTGGAGGAGGTTCTGCAGAGGAAGATGAGCAATACAAATTGTGACCTGGCCTTGGCTACTCTAGTGTTAACGGTCAGTGTCAAAATGGGGAAGGAAGCCGGTCAACCTGCTTCAAAGAGCGTCTCCCTTTGTAGGAAGGGAGGGGGGGCTCTGCATGGCCAGCTGGAGACGCACCAAGAAAGCTACTCGACTTCCCTGCCCTGGTTCCTCTCACACTGAAAAGAATCTCTTCAGCCGAGGCTGCTTCTTTCAGGTTCTCAGGCTAAGACTCGAATTGGAGGGGGGAACAGAGCCTCTCAGAGGGCCTCTCTCCAGACTTTGGGGGCTCTTCTCATTTGGAACCCGGCAGGCAGCTCAGCCTCAGCCCCCAGCCTCCCCTCCCCCACAGCAACAGCAGCAGCAGCAACAGGGCACAACTCGGACTCCGTGGCATGCCGGGCCCCCAAGGGAGGAAGCTTCCTTTCTCTTCCCGGCCACCACTGAAAGGCACATCTGGCAAGTGGAACAGAACGATGGCTTCACACGGCCCAACCAGAGAATTTCTCCTTCGACGGCTCCCGCCTGCCCTGCCCTGACCAGGCAAAGGGCTAAAGGCCGCAGCCTCCCCAGAGCCCTTCGGGAGGGGAGAGACGGGGCCGCTCCAAGTCCAGGCAAGGCACTGAGGCTGGCAGGTGGGGCCTTCCCCAAGGCCAGGAACCAGGCGGGGCGGCTGCAGCGGCGGCGGCTGTGCTAGGCCAGGAGGCCCAGGCGGGTCACTTTGGCCGAGAGGAAGGTGTGCAGGACGAAGACCAGGGGCTTGGGGCAAGAGTGCAGCTCCAGGGCCTGTGGAGGAGAAGGCGGGAGGGAGGGTCACCCCCTGCCGTCTCAAAGGCCAGCATCCACCCTCTCGTTCCACACAAGACTGAAGTGGCCCAGGTGTGGCTAAACCTCTTAAGCTCAAGTGGCTTTCTGGTTATGGGTGGCGGCCGTTTTTAAGGCACCAGTGCCGTGGCCGTCTCCTCCTTCCTCAGGGGTGGGAGCGAAAGGCCTTCCTCCTTTATTCTCCAGTGGAATTGCAGGGACTTGCCTAAATCCGCAGCCCCCCTTGAGGCAGCCGAAAGGTCTCCCCCCACCACTCACCAGTTCCCCCTCTGGGCCGCCAAAGTCCAAGTACAGGTGTCGCACCCCATCGTCAGCAGACATCTTCAGCTTCTCGAAAGGGTACCGGAGGAGGATGCCGGCAGAACCAGCTCCCTTGCTGGACACGGTGAAGCCGTTTTCATAGTGGACCGTGAGCCGGACATCCTGGCTGTTCCAGATGCAGCCTAGGCGAAAGACACAAAGCGGAGCCTCCGTGGTCAGGAGGACGGGAGGGGAGGGGAGGGGAGGGCCACCCTGCGGGACAACCGGGCCCAGGCTCGCTTTGGCCATCCCCAGCTTGGCTCTTCTTGTCCGGGGGGCTGGTAACTTCAACAGGCGATGCCTGGTCTGCTGGAGAGCCAGGCTGCTCAGCCGGGGGACACGGCCACATGGAAGGGCAGGTTTTCCCTCCGAGGACACTGGGAGGCCGGGACTCGCTCACCCACCCCATCGTCCCTGCTGACAAGGGCACCAAAGCTGTGGCTGGTGGGCATCATGTCCCCATCCCGTTGGCTAGGCGGGCCCCTGGGCTCCCTCCGGGGCGAGGGTTCAGGAGAGGAGGCCCTACCGTCTTCGAGGCTGGGCAGCCAGGCCATACCTACGGAGACCTCCTTGACGAGCTCTGCAGCGGCGTGGCAGCCTTGCACCAGCGTCCTGGTCCAGGTGGAGAGGTCACGGTGGGTCTCCACGCGGAAAACGTGCACCTCGATGCCCTGGCGAGAGCCCGACCGTGTGGCAAAGCTAAGGTCTGATCCCAGGCAGGGCGACCGGCAGCCTGAATGCACCAGCCTGGGGTGGGGGGGTGGGGGGTGGGGGCGAAGGAGCAGCAGTTGCAAGCTGGGGGTGGCTTGCTCTGAACAATTAAGCCCCCCACCCCAGAGGGACTGCAGAAACGCTTGGGGGCTCCTTTCCCTCTTGCAGAGACGCCCCCCACCACCACATCGTCCCCCCCACAAAAATCAGGGAAGAACCCCAGCTGGGAGGGTGGGCAGGCCACAGAGCAGCAGCAGCAGCCCACCAGCAGGCAAATTACTTTGGGCGGGCTTTGGACTCAAGGGAGGCAACCTGGGGGAGTCCCGCTGAGCCTCTGCCAGCCCCCCTGCAGCAGACACCGGTGGGGGAGGCCCCGCCCCCCCTGCACAGGGGAAAGTGCCAGTTCCCTCTTGCTCAGGCCAAGTAAGAAGGCTGAAGCCAAACCAAAGGGAGGAGCAAACACAGCCCTCTTCTCTCTTGGGGGGGTGCAGGGGGGGGGGAAGCAGGCAGGGATACCTAACAAAACTTTTCTGGCTGAATTGGCAGCCAATTGCCGCTCCCCCCAGCAGCTCTGCTTCGCCTGACGCCCCGGCACAGAGGGAAGAGGTGCCAGCGGCTTTGCTGGTTGCAGGAAGCCACTTGGGACTTTCCAGCCTCCAGAACAAAAGTTCCAAAATGAACACGGGGAGAAACTTCCCAGAAGGAGCAGCCAGAGGCAGGCAGGCAGGCAGCCCCGCCCTGCCCAGAGGCTGATGGCCGCCAGACCCCAGCACTCATGGGAGGGGCTCACTCCCCCTCCCCTTCAGGATGGGGGCTGAGCTCTTCTGTGGGTTCCCCCACCTGGTGGCCACCAGTGGGTAGCTGTGGCAGGGGGAGGCCCAAGCGTCCCTCGTCCAGGGCACGGAGTCGAAGAGCAGCAGGTCTTTCTCCGTCACGGCCAAGAGGACCGGCCGCCAATTCTGCCTCCCGCCATCGAGTCTGGCCTGCAGGAAGCCGAGAGACAAAGGGGGGGGGGGGGGGGGGGGGGGGCAGGGCTAGCAAGGGTCCGCCTAAAGGGGCCCAGGCAGGAGGGCCTCCCCTGTGGGAAAGCGGCTTACAGACAAGGATCAGGCGCTAATTCAGAGAGGGGGACTCCCCCCCACACATTCACCCCCCCCTTTCAGTTTCCAGTGGTCAGAGATGCTCCCCCAGCACATGAAGGGTGCTTTTGGGGGGACGGTGACGACTAGGACTTTCTGGCCAAAGGAAGCCTCCCAGGCGGATCACTTCCCTCCCCTCCCGCTGGCCACCAGCCAGAGAAAAGCGAGCCCTGCGGGGGAACGGGGTGAGGGGCTCACCTGCTCGGCCAGCCAGGCGATCTGCTTGACCTCCTTGCTGCCGCCTGGTGCAGGACTGGCCCCCAGCATGGCATTGAGCTCAGCCAGGACCTGTGGGAGGAGGGCCATGATGTTGGTGTGGATGGCCATGAACCACGAATGCGCCGTGGCCGCGTCTTTGCAGCGAAGAACCAGGGTGTTCCGGCTGTCGGGCGAGTGAAGTTCAATCAGCCTACAGAGAGAAGGCAGAGCTGCTGAGCGGGGGGGGCTCCACCTCTGATGCTCTGGGTCCCCTTTGCCCCCCCCCAGCTCTTCTCAGGAGACGAGTGTGGCCCCCTCCCTCAGTGGCCGCAGTGCCACCTGTACAGAAGGACACACATCTCTCCTTCAGGGCCCGGCCAAAGGCAGCTTAGAAGGGCCGCTGACCCAAGAGAGGGCTGGGCTGCTTTGGGGGCGGCCAGGCCTGCAAAAGCCATTTGGGTTTGGGGGCTGACAGGGGGCTCCCCATCGCAATGCTGCCCCATTCCCCAGCCCTGCCCCCTTGAGCTGAGTGGGCATCAACCACTCCTGCTCTCTGCCACCCAAAACAGCCTTTGGCACAGGGGTTGCTTAGCAGGAGGACTCCCCACCCCCACCCCAACCCGAGGCAATGCCACAGCTGCCAGGATTGGCCAGGGCCTTTCCGTGCAAGCGGCAGGCCTGGGTGCAGGTGGCACAACACACCTGGGCCCGTGTCTGGAGCGTGTGCTGCCTGTGCAAAGCCCAGACCCTCCATTCCAGAGCCACAAAACGACTTCTGGATGGGGTGGGGTGGGGGCAGAAAGACATCGGATTTTGGTCCCCTGCCCCTCCCGAGAGAGACTGCAGGGCTGCAACCTTGAAGGGACCGGGGGGGGGGCGGGGGGGCTTCCTAGCTGCAGCCTGGAGGTCAGCCCAGGGTATCCTCTGCTGCCCGGCCACGTCTCCTGCTTGCCCCCCTCACCCTCACCTGTTCTCCAGGTCTGGCATGCTCAGGTTCCTGGCAGCGTAGCACATCTTCAAGGGGATGACTTTGCGGTCCTGGGGGGGGCTCTGGCGCTTGGGGGAGCACGACTCCTCGCTGAGGCTGAGGCTGAGGCTGGGCGACTGCGGAAACGCCCCGTCCCACGGCAGGTCGGACACCAGTGACGGCTTCTTGATGTACGGAGTGGCCTCCCGCACGTACTTCACTAAGAGCAGGCCGAGAAGGGAGGGGCTGAGCGTTTCCCAAGAGCCCCGCCGAGTGGCTCCCTGGGGGGCTCCCCTCAATGGGCTAAACCCGGGGAGGTCGGTTGGGCAGAAAGCAGCCCCATGGCACCCCGGACTCGCCTTAAAGACCCCAAACCCTCCTCCGCCCCCCAGGGAGCCGCCTGCCAAAGGAAGGGCAGGCTCGGAGCAAGAGGACTCTTGCAAGGCGGATTCCGCTTGGCTTCCTGCTTAATGCTGCTCTTTCCCCCCCCCCGCCCCCCCCCAGGCAATCCTCTGCTCTCTCCCTGCAGCTACTCCCAGGCCGAGCGGCCATTTCCCCACCACAACCCCGTTGGGGACCCGTCACGATGCTCAGCGCAAAAGCAACTGGGAGTGGGCGAGACTTCCGGGTGTCCCCCCGAAAAGCAGGGGAGGGAAAGGCCTGGTGCTCTGCTGCAGAGGAAGGGTCTCCCCCAGCTCTGCCCAAGAGCCCAGCTCTCCATTTCTGAGCTGCTCAATGCTGCCCACCCAGCCAGGCAGTGGCGGCGGCAGCAGCAGCAGCAAAGCGGTGTGGGGCGGCCCCCTACCTGCCTGGCAAGGAGCAGCCCCGCCCAAGGTGCTGGTTCAGGGATCAGCTCTGCGCCCTGCTGCCCTCCAGAGAGGATTAGTGGAGCCAGGCCTCTAATCCAGCCGGAGACCTTGGCTCCAGCAAGGAAAAGCTGCAGGGAAATTCTACCTGTCCCCGGGGCTTAGAGGCAGTTTCTGAGCCAGTCACCGCCAGCACTAGAGGCAGCCTTTGCTCTGGTTGCAAATGGTTCACAATCTGGCCAGCCGTTGTTATGTCTGCTTGCTCGGCTAAATGAGCTCTTGGTCAGAAGCCATGCAAAGAGACAAGGGCAAAAGGAGAGGGCAAATCTGGATCAATGATCTGCCAACAGCTGATAATCGTGAGCCCCTGCTTGCGAAGGAGAAGCCTGCCTGGCGGTCACAAAAACCTCCGGCACGTGCTAAAAGCCTGAAGAGAACTCTCAAAATCCCACCAATCTTCCAGCCTTTAGGAAGATCAGCTGGTGGAACGGCAGTCTTAGAGTGGTGAAGAAGAAGTAACTGCTAGATAAACACGAACCAGCTCCACTTCTCAGCAGAAAATAAAGTCCCAATGACTGACCTAAGCCATGGGCTGCTCTTCCCAGAACGCTCCTTTGGGTCTCCTGATGAGCACCGAGCCAAGTTATGTGCAGCAGAGAGGAAGCAGCTGGCATGGGGGCACCAGGAAAGGGCATCCGGTGCCAGCCACTTGCTTTCTCAGGCACCTCCGGTTGAAGCAGGGCCAGAGGAAATACCGTCTCCGTTTCCCCATGCAAATCCCTGGCTCCATTCCTCGGATCAGCTTGCCATCCTGGGCTGGCAGTCGATTCCCAGACATAGTACAGCCCTACAAGGCAGGGAGCCAACTCTCTTAACTCTCCTGAGCAGCCCTGCCAGGCACGGCGGCCTCAGAGGGGGCTCTGAGGCAGTGGCAGGTTCCAAAGATAAGGGAACATAGAAAATACAGGAGCCTGTTTCTCTCTGGAAGGACCAAAAGGCTCACCCTACATTAAGACCCCACCACCACCCAAGTCACCAATGAGGCAAGAGCAGGGCAGGTGTTTACAGCTGTTTCCCAAGCAGGGCAGCTGCAGGAATGGCAGCAGGCTATTAGCCGCCTGAGCCCCGTCCGCAGGGCGCACCCTTAACAGGGCCGGTGGCAGAGGGGGGGGGGGGCCCCTGTGCATCCTTGCTGGCCTCGCACCCAGCCTGTCCAGTGGGGCTCCCGGCCTGTGCAGAGCGGGGCTGGGGGTGAGGTGGGGGGTCAGAGCTTCACACACAGCTGCCTCAGTGGTCCAGAGGGAGCCTTCCAGCCAAGCAGCCGGGCCCTTTGGGGAGAGAAGAGTGCCGCCTTCCCGGGTCAGACTCAGTCCAGCCTCTCTGCAGAGACCCCGGGGCTCCAAGAGGGCCCAGGGGGAGGGGGGGCAAAGGGAGGAGCATTCCTTCTGCGGCGACCAGTGGAAGAGGCCCCTCCTAGGAGGCTGGCTCAGTAGAAGGAGCTCCACAGCTGGCTACCAGATGTGTGCTCTCCAGTGTCCCGGCCCATAAAGCTCCTCTGCCCTCCTATGCCCACCAGCCTTTGCTCCTCTCCAGCCAGCTCCAAGGACTCAAGCGCTAGGGAGAATAAATTGGAGCCGGTGGCCTTCTTTGCCAAGTGCAAAAGTGTTTTATTCAGCACCCTCCCCCCCCCCCCCACCAAAAAAAACCCCTTGGGTTGAAAGGCAGAGGAGTCAGGAGGGACTTAAAGAATCCCGTGGAAGATCGGAAACGTTTAGGCCTCTCAAGAAACCTCATGTGGGAGCCAGGTCAGCTGCCCACGAGGAGCCAAGGCAAGCTCAACCAGACAGAGACGCACTTGGGAAGGGCCCAGAGGGTGGTCTGGGGGCCTCGGGCAGCTTCACCGCCCTTACAGTCACCCTTTCAGCTGCAAAGCCCCCGAAAGCCACCCAAAGTGTTGGACTTTTGAGGAAGACCTTCGCTTGACACAACAGGAATGCTTCTGCCAGAGGCCAGGGCGGCCCCAAGAGGTCACTCCATTCGCCCCATGAAGACCGAGCCCAACTGGCCGCAGCCCCCATTATTCTCCAGAGGGGCTGCAGCCGAGGAAGAGCCGCTGCTCAGAGAAAGGGAAGTGTTCACAACCCCTTGCATTTTGCGTAGGGGAGGAGAGGAAATGCACAGTGCGCCCCCCCCCCAAGAAACACGCCCTGCTCCCCGTCCACAGCGGCCTTTCAGCTGCAAAGAGCACCCAGGGGCAGGAGACCCTGCAGCGCCCCCCCCCAGGCAAAGGAGGGGAAGCCGGAGGGAGGGAGGGAGGGAGGCAGGAGCAGCCACCACTGTGGGACCTTCTGGCTCCGCCCCCCCCATCACTCTTCTCACCACCCTCCCTTAAGGGGGGGCCACGTTTCCATACATTTTCCCGCCCAGAGACGTTAACGTTTAGGGTAAGAACTAAGAGAACAAAAAGCTGAGCCAAACTGGCCCTTGGGGGCATCTTGTGCAGGGCCCCCCAGCCATGAGTGCACCAAGTGGGGAGACTTGGGGGAAGCCTGGCCAACTGAGGGGCCGGTGTGCAGGAGGGCCCCCTCAAAGGGCAGCAAAGGGCAGCCTTCTTTCTCTGGTCAGGGCAGTGAAGGTCAGTCCCCCTCTTGACTTGGGGCTGCCCTTTAAGGGCCCCTCAACTACAACCACTGCAAGGGGCGATTGGCATCGGCCCCCCAAGATCAGCCTCCCTTTCCTTTCTCTCGCTGCCCTGATGGGGGGGGGGGAGGCAGGCTGGCTTCCAACAGCGGCCCAGGGAAACGCTGCTGGGGTCACTTCCGACCAGGGTCCCCCTGGGCACCCAAACTTGCCTTTGCCTGGTCCTGGGCTGTGAGTTACAGCAGGAAGCCCGGCCTCCCCTGCCGCTCCGCTCACGGGGCCCACAAAAGGCCCTTCGAGGCCAAGAGGCCCCGCGCCAGCATTGCCTCGCCCGGCCAAAGAACGAAGAGGAGCCGGGAAGTGGCAGGTGTGCCGGACAGTAGCCCCCCCCCCCCAACCACGTGCCCAGGTGACCCGCCAGCCCCCCGCCCTCGGCCGCCCTCCCCACCGGACAAAGCAGCGGGGCCCCCTGGCTGCCTCCTGCCCCGCCGGGCCTGAGCCCCCCGGGCCAGGGCTGTCCGATGCGCCCGCTGACCTTCATCAGGTCCCCGGCTCCGCAGCCCCGGCCGGCCGAGCTCATCGGGCTTCTTCAGGGGGCCGGAAGGCCGGGCAAAGGCGCTGCCCCCGCCGGCTCCCCCAAGACTCCCCCGGCTGCTCCCGGGGGGCGTCGCCGCCGCCCAGCCGCGCTTACCTTCCAGCAGGACCTCCCGGCCGGCCCGCTTGAGCGCCTGCACGGCCTGGTCATGGGTGGCGTCGCGGAGGTCCAGGCCGTTGACGGCCAGGATGGCGTCGCCCAGGTACAGCGCCCCGCAGCGCTCGGCCGCCAGGCCCGGGAAGATGCGCGAGATGAGGACCGGCATGCGGTTCTCGCGCCCGCCCTTGATGCTGATGCCCAGCCCGCCCGCCTCCGCCTTCACCACCCGCACGCGCCGCACCCCGGCCGGGGGGGAGCCCGGCGCCGAGCCCCGCGGCGGGGAGGGCGGCGAGGGGGCTCCGGCGGCCCGCTCGGGGGAGGCGGCGGGCGAGGCGGCGCCGTTGGGCAGCCCGTTGCGCGGCTCCGGCTCGGAGCTCAGCGCCAGCGCCTCCCCGCTCAGCTCGGCCAGCGCCCGCACCCAGCGCTCCCGCAGCAGCACCTCCACCAGCCCGGCCTTGCGGGCGCGCGTCCACACCGCCATGCCCGCCGCCCAGACGCCGCCAGTGGGCGGCCGGGCGGGGCCTCTTGCCGGCGCGGGGGGGGGGGGGGGGGCGGGGGGGGGGCCCCCCCCCGCCGGCGCCGGGCGGGGGCCGCGGCGCCCGGGGCCCCCCCCCCCCCCCCCCCCCCCGCGCTGCCGGCTTCAGGCGCACCAGCACCAACTTGGGAACGTTTTGCAAACATACCAGGATTCCAGCTGTTAATCCCCCCCAAAAAAGACCCCCCCCCCCAATTAAGTGCGGAAGCGAGCCTTGAGCTGCTGGAGGGGCCTTTATTGAAACCTGAGCTCCTGGCCAAGAGGAGCCGTCCAAACCTTTCCTGCCCCAGAGAGGGAGTTTCCTTTGGCTGCACTGGGCACAGCAGCCTTTCCTACCCAAAGCGGGAGCCACCCTGTGCTTGGCCCGCCCAACACGGGCCTGCGGGAGGGGGAGGAGACCGGGAGGGAGGGGCTGCCCACCCTGGCCAGCAGGCCAAGAGGGACGGGGATCTTCTCATGCCAGCACAGGACACACGACCTTCAGGCTCCACTGAACAGCAGCGAACAGGCTGTTCACTTCCTTCTCTCCCTCTGCAAATGCAGAGACGGACGGACGGACACACACACACACACACACTCACTCACTCACTCTTCCTGGAGAAACACAAAAGAAAGCAGGTCAAGGCAGCTGCTGACTTTGCTCTTCTGGTTTGATGGGGCGGAAATCAGGGTTCCCGGTCTGCCTGCCTGGGCCTGGCGTCAGCAGAGCCAAGGGGTCCCAGGGCGGCCCTGAAGGAAGTCTGCTGGCCCCTTGGCTGCCGGCCCCGGGCTTCTCCCAGAGACGATGCGGCTGCTCCTTTCTGGCCAAGGGATGAGCCCCGACACACCGTGCAGAAAACAGGAAGTGACTCTTTGCCATTCTCCACCAGGAAGGTTCAGAGAGAAGCAGCAGGCAAGGCTGGAAGAAAGTCCCCGAGCGAGGAGGCCCGTGGCGGCCCTGGCTCCCAGGCACAAGAGGTTATGTATTACGAGGGGTGCCTCTCTTTCCCAGCCAGACACGCAGCCCCCTGCTTCTGACGGGAAGGGCACCGGGAGCCCCTCCATGAAGCACGGCCTCTGCAAAGATCCCCGGAGGTCCCTGCAGGGCAGCACATTAGGTCCCAAACTTCTTCTGATAGACGGGTGGTGGCAACTGGGCTTTGATGTCCATCAGCGGCCGCTCCATCACCACCAAAGAATTGTCATCCAGGAAATCCACAAAGAGCAGAGGCTGGGGTTTTTTTTTTTTTTTTGGGGGGGGGGGGGGCAGGGGAGAGAAGAAACAAGCAGTCCAGTTAGAAGGGGCTTTGCTGGCACAGCCGACTTCCTGAAGGGCACCTAACTCGGCCCTTTACCATGCAAGCCTCGTAGGGACAAGAATGCTACCGAGTTGAATTCCCCGGGGTGGCAGCCACAAGAGTACCTGCACCCATTTCAGAGCACCGTGCCATCTTGGGACACGCATGCACAGCAACCCTGGAGCCACCAGCTCCCTGCTTCCCACGGGAGCCAAGCCAAAGAAAAGCTCACCATCCAGACTGCAGCTGCCCGAGAGCAGCGGCCCTTTGCTTCCCCCTCTCATGCCGGGGCGGGAGGGGAATTATGGGTCCCTCCCCCCTTGAGCTACCAGAACACCTCCGTGGGACACAGGCCCCGTCCCTTGCAGCGGCCTGGTCTACTGCTGAAGGAAACTCTGCTATATTCAAGCTTTTCCATAGGATGCGACTCCTTGGCTCAGGCACAGGATGGCAGCCTCCCCGCTGCTCGACTAATGGGCCAAGGGCTCCTCAGCTGGGGCTTCAGCAGGTGGCATAACGCCCCTCACCCAGACTGTCCAAAATACTCCTAAAGCATTGCTGTCCCTGGCTGTCCTGGTGCCTCTTTGGCAAACCAACTTCTTGCAAACCCTGACTGGACCCACCGATCTTGGTTAATCCAAGGGCCCAACTTCTGCCCTGGAGAGCCCGGGCCCACGTGGAAGGCCTTCCTTCCTGCCTTAAGAGATCTCATTGCCCAAAGACCCACCTGGAACTTCTTGCAGATCTTGAAGGCACGGCCACGACCACGCTGGATCGTTTTCACGTGTGGCTCCAGCGTCTTTGAGGCCGCAGCATCCTCATGCAGTGGCTGGAGGAGCAAATTAAGCCATCAGGAGGGGCAGTCACTGTCCGAGCTAAAGGCGGGTTTCGCTGGTTGGGTCTCAGTGGCCTGGTTCACCCTTTGTGCTGAGCCCTAACCAGACCGGCCTGGCTGAACTGCCAGGTGGGGCTAAGCACCTCCCTGAGCGCGGGTTCGGACTCCAGAATTAGCCCCTCCCACTCCCCCCCCCCAGCTGGCCTGGATAGGGACCAGCAGCCCAGGAGGCAGTGGTGCTTTCCCACCTGACCCAGCCGGTGGGGGGAGGGCAAGCGGCGTGGGCCACTTGCGGTCCCTCCCTCCGTCCACTCACCAGCGACATGTCCAGGATGCAGAACATGTACGTGTCGTGCAGCAAGACATGCGAGGAGTGCCTGGGGCGGAAGGTGATGTGGGTGATGGGCGTGTCTCGCTCCAGCCAATCCTTGTGCAGGCCCAGCTGTTGCAGCTTCCGGCTCCAAGGCGTGTAGCCTCCCTCCTGGATGCTGAACTCAAACAGCTGGAAGCAGGAAAGCCAGCAGGGTGGGCGTGACTCCCCCTCCCTCCCGTTCTGAAGCCAGATCGCTCCCATCCCAGCACGAAAACCGCCTCCCTCCCTGGTGCTGCCATCACGGCAACCTTTCCTCTGGCAAAAGAGGCAGTTTGCAGAGCAGGTCTCATAACGGCAGCTAATTCCAGCGGGAACAAGGCGTTCGTCTCTAACTAGGATCGATGATGGTGACTGGCCTGCTGACTCCCCCATGGACACCCCCCGGCTTCCTGGCCCCAAGAGCAGCAGTTACAGCCGAAGTCTGCATGAAGGACGGGTGTACAAAGCCAAGACCGTCCTCAACTGGCCAGGCCTGGGGCAATTCTTGGAGGCAGACCCTTGTGCGTGGCAACTCTGCTTTGCCAATCCAGGGAAGGGCAGCCCTTACCTGCTGATCCGAATGCGCCACGATGAGATTATTGGTCAGCGGATGGATTGCCATTGCGGTCACTGGGCACTCGTAGGCTGGCACAGAGCAGTGAAGCTGGGGGAGGAAGTTGCAGCGGAATAAGAGAGTGAGCCTGCCCCGGCCTTCCCCGCTTGCAGTACTGGCTTCTCCATCAGAGGTTCCTGGACTCATCGGGGGCTGAGCCAACTCTCTGCCCCGCAAAGCCAACCCGAGGGCTTTGGCAGAGCAAACCAAGTGCCCACCGCTGGCTGCAAGAACCAGACCAGGAAAGAGATGGAGGAAGCAGCAGCTCTGATCTCTGGCTGCCACGTTCGCGGCTGGGCTCACCTTGGTGTTTTCCAAGTTATAGATGCAGATTTCCCGGTCTCCACCTGCTGCACACAACCACTTGCCATCCGCACTCACTGCCAGCTGATGCACTGCTTCCAACCTCTCTGCAGGAAGACACAGGCGCGGAGCAGTTTTTCAGATGTCCTCCAGCAGGTCTCTGCTGCAGAGGCCAGCTAACCGCTGCCTGCCTTTCTCATCTGGGAGCATTTGCAGAAAACATTTGGTAATTCCTGCAAGGATTTTCAATATGCCTTAATCCAAAGCAAACCCTGGTTACCTGAATTTGGACGAAGCGTGTATAGATGCCTGCAGATCCCTGACTGCGAGAGCGAAAGCACATACACGCAGCCCCGATCCGATGCCAGGAAGAGCCTGGTGGCGTCGCCAGAAAAAAGAAGGCTGTGGGCTGAGCCGTCCAGCCTGGGGGTCTTGCGAACCTTGGGGAAAGCAAACCAGGATTGATGCAACCGGCTGGGCCCTCCAGAGAGCCCGGAACATTTCACGCCACGGAGATCTCACTCACTCGGTTGATGGAAACGTGGTCACTGGCGAGCTGAACCCGATGCAGGAAGAACCTGCTAGTTGTGGAGTAGGCAATCCAGCCGCCACACGGGGAGAGGCAGCTGGTGCGGATGTGCTCGGGGCCCTTCAACGAAGCAAGAGGACCAATCATAGTGCAGGAAGGGGGGGCCTGTGCAGCTGACTCAGCAACGGGTGGGATTCTCCAGACCCAGCCAAGTCGAGGTGCTACACAGGTCTGTCAAGGGGCATTTCTAAGGCACCCGTTGCCCTTCTTTCTCTGAGCGGAGAAGGAGGGCAATGCCAAGCGGGGGCTGGACAGATCTGCCCCAGCCGCAGGGTTAGGAAGTCACGGCTTCTCACCTTGGCCTTCAGCTGGAGCAGGTTCCGGGGGGGGCAGGACACTGGCAGGACCTCGCCAGGCCTTCCTGCAACAAGAAACAAGGTGACATGGCAACGCAGACCTGCTGCGACTGCCAAAGAGGGCAGCTGGGAAGACAGGCTGCGCTATTGCCCTGCCCATCCTCTGCGCGTTGAAGCCGTGCGCATCCTCACCGAAGACGTTGGTGGTGCCAAGTCGCCAGAGCTCCAGGTGCTGGGGGTACTGGAAGAGGAGGAGCCGGGCTGTCCTGGCACAGGAGACGAGGCGCCTCTGCGGGAAGAGAAGAGCCACCTGAAGCACCAGTGGAAGAGACAGCTGGCCACATCGCTGCAGGATCCCTCCCTCCCTCCCTCCTCTTCAGGAGCAGCCCGGCCCAGCCGGAGGGAGCAGACCCTATACTCACGTGGGGGAAGGTGATAGTTCGGAGGGCCGCATCGTAGGACTTGGAGTCCACCTTCTCCATCAGGGGTCGGATCACAAGCTGCCCATCCAGCCCTGCCAGAGGAAGACGGCACCTGGCTCATGCTTCCTGGCTAGCGAGGGCTGGCTCTGGGCATTTCCCCAAAGCACTTTCTGGCCTCTGGCTTATCATTATCTCAGCCGAGATGCGCAGGCTTCTTGAACAAACCACGGCTCAGTGCAATGGGCAAAGTCCTCCCAGCCGTCCAAATGCCACCGGACCAGGGGAAAGAGCCAGGAGCGCAACGGGTCTCACCTACCTGGCTGTCCCCCTTGGGGATCCGGGGGGAGGGGGGGAAGCATACCCGTGCCCATCTTCTGATGAGTTACAACCTAGAAACTGGGTGCCCTACTGTACCTCCAGAGATGAAGGCTGTGGCGGTGTGAGCCACTGTCCGCACATCGTGAGTATGATGCCGAAAGGGTCTGGTCCGCACCCACTCGCACTCAGAGCTGCCCAGCTTCACTGGCAGCAGTTGGAACTGATACACCGTGCCCTCCGACGTGCCAACCACCATACTGTCTTCTGCCTGGAGAAAACCGGTCAATACCAGGGGGTGAGAACCGGATGCCATGAACCTCCCAGGCCACAGAGGCTCTTATTCCCCCCGTCAGATGCCTCCTGCTGAAGGAGACGGCGGCTCAACCCCAGCTAGCCCTTGGATTCCTCCTGCTCCTCATTTCGGACTGGACTTGTACACGAAACGCCCACGAATTCCTTTCCAAAAAGGAGCAACCCCCGGGGGGCGCTAGTCTGGTTGGGGGGGGAAGCTGACAGCGCCCCCCACCCCACCCCACCCACCCCAGATCCACACAGTGAGGCTTGAGGAATTTGGGTTTTGGCAGCTGGTCTGGCCAACTGCATCAGGAAAGAATGTGGGTAAATATTCAAGTCTCTGATAAAAAATGCTCCTTCCAGTCCTTTTTAACAGGATTTACAGAACTTCCCGCATTTTGCAGCTCTCACCCACCTCAGCCACGGCCACAGAAAGCACTGCAGCTTTGCTGACGGGGTGCTTGGAGAGCAGAGTGCCCATCGCCGAATCCCAGAACTGCACTTTTCCAGCCGAATCCACGCTGACCACAGTGCCATCAGAAAGGAAGGCCAGGCCCCACACCAGGCATTTCTGGCTGGAGGGGCCTTGCAGACGCCTTTCTACCAGGATCCGCTGGCTGGTGTGCCCTAAGAAACATGCACGTGGGGTGTTCAAGTGCGGTGGGGAGAAACCGTTGCTCAAAGAAAGCCACAGAAAACTCTTTCCTTACCTGGGGCCCCTGACGGGCTCCATCATCTTCTTTTAGAACACCTATAGAAATTGAGCCCAGGGCCTTTTGCACCCCGAGACCAGAGCAGGCTCCAATGGCTAAGGCACTGCCACTGCCTCTGCCGGGTGTAACGAAGCAATCTGGAGCACCAGCCCTCACCGCCAGAGTGGCTCAAAGACTCCTTTGGCAGCCCAGGCGGGTCCCTCTCAGGTGCTGTTTTTTTTCTCTTGGTCCAGACCAGCTGCACAACTTACCAGATTCGACGTCAAAGATGTAAATGCAGTCGATGGAGCCAGCTGCGATCTTGGTCCCAGAAGGATGCCAGGATAGAGAGAGGATGCGCTCTGTGAGAGAAGGGGGGAGGGTTTCAGCCCCAGGGGCTGGAACCATCCAGGCAATGCTGCTACCCCACCCCCAAACGGAATCCAAACTTCCCGCTCTGCACAGTGGAAACAGGTCGATTTTTGACTTTCGGAATCTAATCACAACTTTAGGCAAAGTGTTACAGAATTAAAGCAATGCTTTCGACTCCCTTAACTGTCAACCTAGAGGTTGAAACTAAAAAGGGCAGCTCTCTGCCTTCAGCTCCTTGCACTGAAAGCAAAGCCCCCACCCACCCAACCCCGCCCTCTAAGGAGGTCCCCACAGGCCCCCCGCCCGCCCCTTCTGGCCCCGCGACCCCCCACCTTTCTGCCGGTCCAGCTGCCTTTCAAATTGGATTCCATCCGCCCCGACTCGGAAGAGCTTGACGGAGCCGTCCTCGCAGCCCACCTGCCGAGACCAGCCGAGCGTCAGTCGGGGCCCTCGTGGACCCCCGCGCGCCTCCCCCGCCCCGAGAGCCCCCCCAACTCACGCACCGCCAGCCGGGCGCCGGAGGGGTCGGCCGCCATGCTCCAGAGCGGCCCCCCGAAGGCGTCGAGCGAGCCCTTCACGCGCAGCCTCTGCAGGTCGTACTCCAGCACCGCCCCGTCGAGCCCGGCGCCGAAGAGCCGCTCGCCCGCCGCCCAGCACAGCGCCTCCGGGGCGCGCGCCTCGTGGCCCGGGATCACCTGCGGGAGACACCGGCCGCGTCAGGGGGGCCGGCCGGGCAGCGCCCCCCGTGCCCCCCTCCCTCCCTCCGCCCGCCCGCCCGCCCACCTTCTCCTGGGCGCCGTTGGCCTGCAGGTCGTAGAGCTCCACGGCGCCGTCGAGGCGGGCGGCGGCCAGGCGGCGGTGGGGCGGGCGGGCGCCGGGGACGGCCAGGCAGCGGACGCCGGAGGGCACGAAGGCGAAGAGCCGCGCTCGGTGCACCTGGAACTCGCCCATGGCCGGCCGGGCTCCACGTGCGGCGCTGCCCCGGAAGCGGAAGCCGCGGAGAGGGGGCGGGGCGCCGTGGGCGGGGCGATGGTGCAGCTGGCCGTACGCCGGTGAGTCCCGGGGGCGGCGGCGGGGGGGCGGGGGGGCCGGCGCCCCGTCCTGACCGGCTCCGTCTTGCAGGGCGGCCGGCGGGGAGGCGGAGTGGCTGCTGCTGGAGCTGCAGGGGCAGCTGGAGGCGCGCGGCGGAGGCGGCCTGGCCGGGCGGCTGCTGGGCGACCTGCACTTCACCCAGGAGGTCAGCGCGGGGCCCGCGGGGGGGGGGGGGGCGGGGGGGGGGGGGGGCCGGGGGGGGTCGTCCGCTGACCCCCCCCGGCCGTCCCGCTCTCCGCCCCTCAGGGAGCGCCGGTGCTGGTCGTGGGCCACCACGTGCTCTACGGGAAGGCGGTGCGGCTGGAGAAGGCCGTGGCCGTCCTGCGCAGGGGAGCCGCCGCCGCCGAGGATCCCCGCGGCCCCGCCGCCTACGAGGTCGCCGCGCTGGTCCGCACCAAGCTACTCTTCAAGACGCGCCCCAAGCCCATCGTCCCCAGCGCGCCCAAGAAGGCCTGAGGGCCGCGCAGCGCTGCTCTTTGGCCGCCCTCCCTCCGGAGCTTTCTTCCTCCCTCTTGTTGGGGCCCCGTTTCCTTAGCGGGAAAGAACGGGACGGGCTCTTCCGTTTACAAAGCTTTATTATAGTTACAAATAACAAATGTAATAAAAAATCCAAACCTGTTTTTACAAAATGAAAATGTAAGTAATAATAAATAAGTTTACAAATAACGGTTAAGTATTCATCTGGTGTTATTAACAAAAGTACAAAAACTTCTGAAACTCCTCAGGAACCCAAAAGAATCATCCTGCAAAAGGGAGGCAGCTGAAGCCCAGCAGGACTGGAGAATAGCAATAATGCTTAGATTTATATACCACTTTACAGCCCTCCAAGCAGTTTACAGGGTCAGCCTCCCCCCTCCCCCCATACAATCTGGGTCCCGCTTTGGGCCAAATCAACCTTGAACCCTCAGGATCAAACTTCTGGCAGTGGGCAGTGACTTAGCCTGCGGAACTGTCTTCTAATCAGTGAGCCACCACCATGGAGGAGCGTGGAGAAGCAAGGGGAAGAGGCAGCCAGTCCAGAAGAAGGAAGCCCAGCCAAAAGAGGGGCTGGGTGGTGGCTGTCCGCCCCAACATGCTTTGCCCTTAGCCAGCTTGGGGAGAGAAGGTAGCAGCCTGTGGGCCTAGATTTTCCTCCCACTGTGGCCTTGAGGCCTGTGCACAAAGGCAGCATCGGAAGAGACTCCCTGGCCACCTTTGTGGACCAGTGACTGCCCTTCCTCTGCCCTTCCATTCCCAAAATTACCGGTCGGCACACTGGCATAGCAAGAAGTGGCCTGGGCAAAGACACAGTAAGCTCAACTTGGCTGCAGAGCTGTTGCTTTGTGGAATGACAGAAAAACCCCGTGAGATCCCAAAGGCTCTTGGGATTTGTACCAAGGAAGGACCTGGCTTGGCAACTTCAGTATTTCAAGCCAACCACACACACACAAAAAAAGGCTATTTGCTCGTTTTTTGCAAAACCCTCAAATTATATATCAGAAGCAAAATATGCAAATCAAACCTGTTTTGAAAAGTATCTAGTTACAGGATAGTAACCGCTGGTTACAGAATGATTTTCTCAATATAAAATGTTCTATACAAGGCAGGAATATACCTAATTGGAGAAGGGTGTATATAAATACCTTTTTGGTTCAGAAATTAATGCCCGTAGTAGACTTAGGAGAGCTGCTGTGATACCCGCTCACCAGTCTCAGCTGCCTCTGAGAAAGAGTGGTGAGGATGAGCCATACAATGGGGCGGAAGCACAAGAGTCCTGTGCAGCACCTGCCCCCCCCCCCCCCCCCATGTGAAGGAGGCTGAGGGGTCTGGATATTGGCTAGGATCAGGAATCCCATTAGCAAGGAAGATGCACAGAACCCAGTCCATACATCTAAATGGCGGCAGATCAGTAAAAGTCATATTAGTGCATTCAACACCAACATGACTAAACATTTTGTCATTATAACACGTTTTCTCAGGACATGAAACTTAACTTGCATTCTTTTAAATGTGCAGGCCTTATTTACAGCTTATCCATATTTCTGATAAGCTAAAGGTTTAGAACAAAAGGTTGTCAGAGTTGGAAGTTGGCCTTGGAGGTCTTCTAGGCCAACCCCACTGCTCTAGCAGGAGACCCTAATGGCTGTTTGGCCTCCTCTTAAAAGCTTCCCGTGACAAGCACCCACAACCTCTGAAGGCAGGCTGCGGGTTGGGGGAGGTTAAAAAGCGGAGCACAATCTGGCAACAGATGTACAAGGTGGGAAACCCAGAAAAGTCTCCAAATTTTTCTGAGATAGTTTAAAATATTGCTCAAAATGTAGAAACTTGCTTTTCCAAAAAAAGGTGTAAACATGCAAGAATTCTCAGTTTCAGGAATCCTCTTCAGGAGTGAAACTGGGAAAAGCTGCCTTTCCTCTAAATTCCAGCAGGGGGCAGGCCGGATCTGTGCAAGGGAGCGCCAGAGCAAACCTGTGTCCACAGGTTCAGACCTTGGCAAAGCGGGGAGGGGCAGGCATCATGTCCCCTCTCAGTGGAACGACAGTTTGCAGTCAAAGCTCCCACCGCTCCAGAACTAGAAGCCCCGTGAGCCCCTTCTTGCTGGAGGAGGGAGGCAAGGGGTACTAAGGGGCGGAGTGCTTTAAGCAGAGAGCAGGATGGGAGCCCCTGAAGCACCACTGCTGCCCCCCCCCCGCATCCCCCTTGTTCTCCTGGTTGGAAGTAGCACCGTGGGGGAATCTCAAGACCTACGAGGAGGGCGAGAGGCGTGGACAGAGGTAGAATGTCCTAGGAGTACCCACAATATTACAACCACGCGGTTGCAGGCAGGAACCAACCACGGCCCAGCTCAACTCTGTTCAGTTAGGTGCCATCCATCTGCTTGATAGCATGTAAATGTTGGTGGAAAACCAGGAGTGGCTTTAAGGCAACCGGCTCCTCCGGCTGAGGCCTCTCCCTTTCTGCATTCTGGGAGGCTGGGAAAGCTCCCTTTCTGGTGAGCCGCACTTTCCCCAAAAGGAGCTTTCTTGCCTTCACCCCCCAAGGCCCTCCCTTCATTCCTGCAATTAAGCAACCGGAAGACACCATGTCACTTTCCCTACAGACAGAATCGCCAAAGAGGATCTGGGTAGAGCCCCCCCCCAAAAAGGACTCAGCAATGCCCCCCCGTTGGTGATTCCCCCAAAGTATGGCCTCTGAGAGCCACCCTCTTCACCCACTCAGGAGAAAGTCACCTTGAGCTACTCAGGAAAGCCTTGCTTGCATAGGAGGGCAGGTGAGCTGCTGCGGGAGTCCAGGTGGGTCTTTCCACCAGGCCCTCAGGGAGGTTCTGGAGCCTCCCCACCCCCAGCAGAGTGTTCTGGCTTGCTGAGTTTGCCAGCTGCTTTCAGAGGAGCCACATGAAATGCTGCCTCAAGCAGGGTGGGGCCAGCCCTTCCCACGCCTCAGCCACACAGGGAAAGGGCTGCTTCACGGAGTTTCTTGCTCCAGCTCCCTCCGTTGCCTTCTGGCAGCATCACGCCTCTGCGAAGGGCAAGCTGTACCGCTCCTGCGGCTTGCTGCAGCGCCTGGCCACGATGGCCAGGTAGAGGGTGAGCAGGGCCACCCAATAGCAGGCGTACAAGATGGCCCCTGAGATGAGGAAGACCAGCTCAGTGTCTGTGAAGAGGTCCTGCCGGTAGGCGGTGTACGCCAGCCCGCCCAGCAGCACTGCAACCCAGACCGAGACCGGGATGAGACCCATGAAGTTGACCACAATCCTCTTCCTGCCAGAGGTGCCCCAGCTGGACTTGTTGATGGTGGCGATGGCAAACATCTTGGCTGGCAAGAGGCTGGACATGTACAGCAAGGAGTAGAGCGACATGAAGATCATCTCCGCATTGCCCCGCAGGAAGCAGGCGTAGAGGGCCTTGACGATGCCCACCAGCTGCACCGTCAGGAGGAAAAGGAGGATATTCCAGACACGGCCGCGGTAGAACAGCTGGATGACGGTGGCAATCAGAAAGAACGGGAAGAAGCCGGTCACCACCGACTCGTAGGTCATCCAGAGGTGGTGCTTGTGGAACCAGAGCGCGTTGTAGAGCCACTCCCGGAAGTAGGACTTGCTCCAGCGGGTTTGCTGGTTGAGCCAGCGCAGGTAGCGAGTGGGGGTTTCCGTCAGGCACTTGGAGCGCGCCGTGTACTTCGTGTGGTAGCCCAGGCTGAGGACCCGGTTGGTGAGGTGCCGGTCGTCCCCAAAGCTGCACTTGCTTCCCAGGAAGGTCTGATTGTACCACCCTTCCAGGAACTGCTGCAGCAGGGAGTTGCGGTACATCCCCAGCGGCCCACTGATGCACTGCACGCACCCAAAGTAGGACTGGCAGGCCCGCTCCACATTGAACGCCATCCAGTACCGCACGCTGCTTAGGAAGGAGATCCACGAATCGTACTTGTTCAGGATCTAGGACAGAAGGAGACGGGTTGGGGCTGCGCTGCTCTGCCCCGTCCCTTCTCCAAACTCAGTTTTCCATGAGATGACCACTCAGACTTTGCACTTATTCCTAGTTTGTTTAATAATTGTTTATTACAGAAATTAGATAGAGTTGCACATAGCACCAAGCCTCAACTTTAGTTTGCAATGGCAGAGTAAAGCATGAATAAACCTGTTGCAGAGTTGCAAAATGTCCAGGATTAAATGGAAGGGCCGGATTCTAAAACAACCCAGAAATCAGGGCTGGGCAGAAAGAGCAGCTTCCTCTCCTGGGAACCCCCGCCCCCCCCACCCCACCCCCACTTGCGCTTCCTGAGCTCTCATGTCCTACCTGGACATCTCCACCAACACCACCAACATGGGAGTCCTCCTCCAGGATCCGGAGCATCTCCACCGTGCAGGCAGGATCCAGAACGGTGTCCGAGTCACACACCTGCCCAGGAGAAATAGCCACCATGGCCCAAGAGAAGATTGACACCCAAGGAACTCTTCCCCTTTAGCAAGGCTTGAAAAGCCCCCAGGAGACAGTGCAGCAAGGAGAGGCAGCAAAAGGCATGGGTGGTGCCTGTCCCATAGAAGAAGGGAGCACGGTTTGACTGGCATGCAGCAAGTCCGCCTCACCTGGGGCAGGACACCTGAGTGGAAAAGAAATGCCCCTTCCTAGATATGAGCCCAGCCCCCTAGGGGCAGGAAGGGTGCCACCTGCTGGCAGTCCCTGGCAGGGAGTCCCTTCTACCTGGGAAATGGGCAAGGTGCCCCTTGGCCAGCTCCAGTGGGGCCAAGGAGACTTTGCTTTATAACCACATTCACAAGGGCCCTGGCTGCTTCTTCAATGGTTAGGTGCCAGGGTGGCAGAAGGACAGGGAAGAGAAAGAACAGGGAGGCCTTGCACGCTGGCACCCACCTGCACGTAGTCCACTGAGTCCCCCAGGGCCCGGAAGGCGGTGTACATGACCTCCCGCTTTCCACCCCACTTCTGCATGATACAGGAGTGGGTGTGGCTGCGGACCAGGCTCTGGACGTGCTGCGCAGCCTTCCGATGGGCCCCCTCCGTCTCATCCAGCGCCTGAGCGTGGAAGTTGCTGCTCCAGATGTAGCAACTGGTCTGCTCCGAGCCCATCACCTCCTGGAAGATGTCCAGCATGTAGGTGTCCTCCTCTCCATTGCCATCCACCACCATCACCACCTTGAGACCAGGGAAGGAGATGCGCTGGATGGAGCGCAGGCATTGGCGCAGGTAGTCGGGGTCCTCCTGGTAGGCAGCGATGCAGAGGGCCACCGAGGCTTGCAGCTTCAGGGGTCGCCCCTCCAGGCGCATCTGCCGGTGCTCCAGGAAGGCAAAGAAACTCTGGACGAAGAGGTGGAGGCCCAGGATGGCCCCGTAGAGCCCGAAGGACAGATAGTGCTGCTCCGTGTGGATGAACTGGTAGCCTGTGACGTAAGCAGCCAGGATGCCCCCCAGCACTGTCACAGCGAAGAGGGTGGTCCCTGAAACACGCAGGGCTGTGGGGAGGCTCACGGGCATCTGCGGAAGGAGGGGGAGAGGCCCGCTTACAGAGCTGGTAGTACCTCTAACCCAAGCCCCACCCGCGCACCTCGCTTCAGGCAAGAACGCGCACCGGCACCGCTGCTCCTTCCCAGCCCCCGCCCCCCCAGGAGGCCTGGAGCTGGCTTTGCCTTCCTCCCAGACTGGCCCTTCCTCTGGGTGGCGGGCAGGGGGAGAGAGGGGCGCCTGCCCAGTGGTGCTCCCGGGACCCGTCGGGGCCCCGGACACCTGGAACAGCTGCACCAACCCGTTCAGCCCAGAGACGGGGAGGAGAGCAGGACAAGTCAGCGCTGCCCGCTCCGAGCCGCCTCAGGCCCGGACAGGGCAGGGAGGCAGGGCGGCGGCCACTGCCCTTCCCTGCTCTACTCCGCTCCCGGAGAGCCCGACGGAGCAGCCGCTGAGGCGGCCCGGTGCCAATGGGGACGGCCGGGCGGTTTCAACGCGTCTGCCCGCTCGCTTTTCTCCGGTCCGCGCTGCCCTTCCCTCCCGCCGCCGCCGCCGCCGCCTCCAGCAGCAGCGACAGGTCCTTCCTCGTCGCCTATCCCGCCATGCAGCCCGGATACGGTGCCAGTCAGGCGCCTCTTCCTAAACCTTGCCCGGAATCGCTCGAGGAAAGAGATGCGTCGCCGCCCGACGTGCCAAGGAGCAGCAGGCCACCGTGGAGCATGTGCAGAGCGCGCGCTCCCCCCTCCCGCCCAAAGTGCAAGCAGGGTCCGGGCTGGGGATCCCCCCGCCCTTCTGGTCGGGCGACCCACCGTGCCGTGGCGTTCTCTCTCGGACTCCGAGCAACGCAGCGTTTTAAAGCGCCCGACCTGGGAGGCTCGAGCCCCGCCCCGCCCCGCCCCGTCGGGGGGGAAGCCCCCTCCCAGGCCAAGGGGAGGGGCGACAGCGTGACCTGCCTCTCTCTGCAGGTGCTCTCGCCCACCGTCCCGCCCCTCCCGCGGGTCCAGCAGGGGCTGCCACGGGCGCGCTTTCCGTGGAAAAAAGATTTGGGCAGCGCAGGAGGGACGCAACTGCGGAGATGCGGGGCGAGCGGGACGGTCCCGGCGGCCAGGACTCAGGAAGGGCGGTGGCAGCGGCGGTGGCAGCGGAATTGCCGCAGGCGCTGCCCGACAAGGAGACCGCTCCCCGCCAGACTTAGAGCGGCTCTTGCGCAAATCCCAACTGAGCGATCTGTTGACCCAGAGAGACCCCCCTCAAGATACGGATCAGAAGCGCCACCAAGGACGCGCAATTCTCCAGCAAAGGGCGAGAGAGCCGTGACCGGCACTCGGTTTCCAGTGATGGCAGCGGGTGCGGACCCAAGGCTGCTGAATCTCTCGGGTGGTCCTGCTGTGCTGGTTTGAAGGTGCACTTGGCACCGCTGGCCCAATTTGGCCCCTTCAGACTTAGACCAGCCAGCTGCCCTTACGGGTTCACACCAAACTCCACAGCCCGCATACACCTCTTTCTCTCCGCTCCCTCCCCCCATAGCTTTCCACCAGGGCTGGGACAGAGCAAAGGTCCAGGAAGATGCCAAGAGGCCCGTTCCCAATTGGGCAACTCCTCTTCAAGGTGCTGCTTTTTGAGTGGGACCTGCAGTCCATGCGGCCACATTCCTGATGCTTTGGGCTCAAATGGGCCCTGCTGGGTTAAAAGAAGCACTTTTGGACAAAGCAGCATTTATCCCACAAAGCAGGAACAGTTAATTGCACACAAGGCTGTTTCTTAACTGGGTCTTGTTCTTGCTTGCCTGTCACCTGCACGCACAAACACACACATCCCGTTCACACCCCTTGCCTTCAGATGTAGCAGAAATAACCGTGGAGATTAATTTCATATGATAAATTTAGCACAAAGGTCTACCGACTGCAGAAGTTTCCCAGGAAATCACAATGCCCGTAAAATTACCGTGGAAAGATCTGCATCAAGAATAAGAGTTCAAAATCCAGTCAGGCAAATTTATTGTTATATTGTGTTTCCTTCTCCCTGTCTTCTTCCTTTTGCTCTCTGCACAAAAATGAATTTAAGCCAATTCCTTACTTTGATCTGCTCAAGGCACAGAATTGGCCCACAGACTCCTTGGCCGAGGTAGATATGGCTTCTCCTGAGAGGATTTACCAGATCCTCCAACCTGGGGCTCTTTTAGACATCCTTCTTTCTCCCCAAATGGTAAGCTTGCACACCTGGAAGGTAAGTGGTGGTGGTGGGGGAAGGTCAAGTCCTGCTCGCTTTATAATCAAGCCCTGGGTTCAAATTCCCCCTGTGCCCTAATCTCACACAAACCATGCACAAATTGCTCCTCTTGAAGAATGAGATTCCTTGTAAGGAAGAGAACGGTTTGCCCAGATTCAGTCTGGCTGGTCCCCCAGGGCTTCCCTTGGGCCAGAGAGCATCTCTTGCCTGGACAGCAGAGCAGCCTTCCCATAAGGTGGCAGGGTCTCCTTCTGAGACCAAACAAACTGGAGAAACACTGGCACCCCTCAACTGCAAGGCGCTGGCTGCGTTTAATGAGGTGCCAGCAAAGAAGAGAGACGAGCAGATCGATGCCAGAGGAGGAAATGCACAAAGGTTAACCCTGAAGGAAACAGTACAAGAATGCAGAGGAGGGGTTGGTTACTTGGTTTGGCACCGATAGCCGGAATTCGGTCTCACTAGGCGATGGCTGCTCCTTATTGGTTATATAAGCCCCCTTTGAGATGCACGTTTATGGAGAGAAGAGGCACCGTCCAGCCTTGAGGGGCATCAGACAACAACGGAATGTGAGGTGAAGAACCCACAAGGTTTCCCACAGAATCTGGAGATTGAATGCCCTTCCTTTCTTAAGCATAAGAACCCTGCAGATAATTACTGGAATTAAGTTGATGAGCTCAATGTTCCTCCCAACAGAGCCTCCAGTACTTCTGGGCCTTGCACAAGGGGTGTGTGTGTGTGTGTGTGTGTGTGTGTGTGTGCGTGCGCTGGAACTTCTCTCCCTTTCCTAACAATCTCACCTCAGAAATTCGGAGCCTCCCCCTCTTGTTGCCAAGAGACTCTGAGGCCCGATTCACATATCCTGGTATGGATGCAATTCCAATTCTTGGTTTGGAGTTCGTGTGCTGGGGAAACCTGCCTCTTATGGTTTGTTCCATAAACCACAGTTGAAGTAATTTAGGGTGAGCATAAATAAGATTCCAGCTCTGTTCTGCCAGACAAGCCCTGGACGGTGTTCAAAGCCAGGCCATGGGGCAGGGCTTCTTCTTCTCTGTCGCCCAGTCCCTGGTGGGGACAGGGCTCCAAAAAAGGCCCTTCTGGATTCCCCATTGTCCCCACTGCTCAACGTCGCTTTCCTACAAGAAGGCTCTTTCCCCACCCTACAAATCACCAGAGTATAAACTTTTTAATTCCATGAATTATACGATTCAAGCCTGCTTCATTCCAAGTCTATTTTCAGTTTCTACAATGGCTCCAGAAAGTTAATGTTATCTTTTTACAATCCAAGTGTTTGAAATACATTCTCACACTCTGCTCCAGTTAAAAGCACACAACCCACCCCTCCTTCCCCCTCCCCCAACAGGCCACCTGCCAGCTGCTGAGCCTCCTTGGGGGGGGGGGCCTTCCCCAGCGGGCACAGCACCCAAGCCCTCCCCTGCTTGGGGGGGGGGGGGGGGCAGGAGTGGGCTGCAGACAGGTGAGAGCAGGAAGTGAGGCTGCTCTACCTGGGTGATTGGACCTCCAGAGGTTTTTCTTCAAAGCCTCTTCTCGATTCATGGAGGACCGTGGGGCCGCTCCGATGCACGCAAGAGCTGCTGCTAGCGGAAGGATGCCCGGGGCTCGAAACACGAGCGTGTCCTTCACCTCTGGGGACACAGGCCGCTTATGCCCCCCCCCCCCCCCCCCCAACTGAAGAGAAACGCACATTAGTGGGCAAAATAGGAAGCCCGTGAAATCAAAGGCACAAGGCACGCAGACAGGAGAGTGACACGGGTGTCAACGGCACTCCCTCCCGTGTCCTCTACTCGCAGAGGTCGCTCCTCACACCCCCCTTGCCGGGGCGCTTTCTCAACTCCAGCTGTTACTTTCCCAGTCTCCCCCTTCCATGCGACCGGGTCCCTCCTCCAGACTACGGTTTACCAATTACATCACTGGCTGGGCTCACAAATTCACGAAACCCTAAACCAGAGTTGCAACCCAACGGCCGAGTTCATCTCAGGCGCGAAGCCAAACTAAACCAGCCCGATTCACGCTCATTGGGGCGTTCCGGGGCGACTGCAGCTGCAGGGCGCCTTCCGCCTTCTCCTCCCGGAGCAGCCCAGCCTCGCCTTTCTCCGCTCTCCCCCTCCCCAAACCCGGACTAATTCCAAGCCTCTGGAGTGCAACGAGCGCTCCGTGCAAGTCCGGGGGTTTCCTGGCGCGCGCTCTTCGGCTGCGAAGCCGCGCAGGAGCCAGACATCTGCGCCCACCCCCCCCCCCCCCCCCGCCTGGAAAGAGCGCCTCCGGTTGGGCTCTGGCGGGCTGGGCGAGGGGAGCCGGCCGCGCTCTCGCCCCACCCGTCAGGGCCAGCGCCACTTTAGCGCTTCCCCGCTTCGCTCTGGAAGGCGGGCGAGGAGGGCGGCAGGTGCCGCTTCCCCCGCGGCTCCATTGTGCAGCCGGCGCGCCTTACCTTCCACACTCCAGAGGCTCCGCGCCCGGCCGGGAAAGGGGGACGCTCCCTCCGCAGAGGCCCGGCCGGAGCGGCCGCCCCCTCTCCAGCCCCGCCAGCGGGAAAGGAGGGAAGCGTCCGCTATGCCGCCAGCGCCGGCGGGGACCCTCCGCCGCGGGGCCAGGCACCGCCTCCTTTCCCGGGAGGGTGTGAGCGGACCGGCCGGCCGACAGGCCGTCCCCAGCCACACAATGACAGCTCTCTGCCGGCAGCATCAGCTCCAGCGCCGCTCCCTCCGCCGTCCTGGTTTTTTTTTGGTGGGGGGGGCAGGTGAGGGGAGGGGCTGCTAGGCCCCTCCAAGCCTCCCGCAGCGATGCCCACTCCTCCCACCTGCCGGCCACTGCAAGGCAACCCTCGCCTTCCCCTGCCCACCCCCCATTCTTCCCAATGACAACCCTGCGAGGGAGGCTGGGTTGAAAGGCAACTGGCCCAAAGGCTGCCGGGCTGGTGGTGCTGTCCCCGCTCTTTGCTGCCCCCCTTCTCAGCTTCCACCCCCCGCTCTTTGCTGCCCCCCTTCGAGGTTTCCCAAGGACGCAAGGCTGGTGGAGGGGGGGGGATCCTCCCTATGTTCTTGGGGGACGAGGTTCCCCCCCCAGCCGCTCTTCCCACTGAGGGGCTGCCGCATTAGGCGGCACGGAAGAGACCCAGCAGGGGAAACCTGGGTTCCTCCCTGGGACGGGGATTCTGGGGGCCCAACTCCCGCTCTGGGCCACCCCCCTCCCAGAGGCCTCATGGGCCACGCAGCACCGGAAAAGCCGCTGGGATGGGCTGAGCCAGGAGTGTTGGGGGCCACACAAGGCCCCTCAGAGCCACGGGGCCTCATCAACCCTCTTCGGACTTGACCCTGGCAGCCCCCCCCCCCCCCCCCCGGGGGCAGCCCCCTTTCCAAATACGCCACTCCTGGGATGACCTGTCCCGCCCCGCCCAATGCTTCTCAGTGGGGATGGAGCCCCACACAAGAAAGCTGAGCCTGTCCAGAGTCTGCGCCACGGGGCCGAGTTCCCACAGAAGCTGCCAGGGAGGCCACGCCCGAGGGCTTTGCAGGGACAGGGCTCCGTGGCCCTCCGGAGCAGCAGCCTAGTAGGGCAGGATCTCCATCTTCTTCTGCAGCGTCTGTGGCGGGAAGAGGAGCGGCCTGAGGAGGCTGTCCAGCTCTTCCAAGGCCAGCTGAGCATGCAGCACCGTCACCTCGTCTTCCTCGCAGCGCCCCACGAACTTCAGCAGGCGGTAAAGATCCAGCAGGACATCGCGGAGAACCTGGAAAGGGGAGCCGGAGTCACAGGACTTTCAGGAAAACCGCCTTTCGTCCAACCCGCTGCTTCAACAGGGGACCTTATGCCATGCCGGACCAACGGCGGTCCTGACACCCTCCGGGGGAGCTCAGGACTTCTGGGGTCACTGCTTGGCAGCCCCCCCTCCAGCCCCCCCATTTTTATTCCCTTTCCGAAATATACATCTAGAGAGGTGAAATTACTTCGTTCCTCCTCCAGCTTCCCCCACAGCAGCAACTCTGGGATGGGGGTTGGGTTGAAAGGGCGACTAGCCCAAAGTCACCCAGCCGGCTTTCACGCCTAAGGCGGGACCAGAACTCACCTTCTCCTGAATTTTCCAAGGCCAACATTTAATTATTGCACTAATTAATCTTACACACACCTTTCTGGAGGAAAGGTATAGACAAACTCCCCTGGGCCAGTTCCAAGAAAGCAGGGATGATCTCTTGCCCGTAAATGCCAGGCTGGGCGAACCCACCTCTTCTCTGGCATTTCCTGGTGGCAGAGGGCGGCGCAAGGGAGCGGGGCCCTTTGAGGAGGCCCCTCCGCGCTCCTTCGCCTGGTGTGGAAAGGCAGGCTCTCCACCCGCCTTTCCGGCAGGCATTCGGGCAGGTCCAGCGGGGCCTCCTTTCCTGCCAGCCCGGCCACAGGAGGACGTGCCCAGCCTCCTCCTCTCCCTCCACACGGAAGCCCGGGCAAGGAAGCAGCCGGCAGGGCAGCAGGAGAGACTCACCTCCACCGCCTTCGTGCTCAGCCCCCGCAGGAGAAGCACCACCACGTGGACCGCGGCTCTACGGACCTCAGCTTCCCGGTCGGTTTTGACCACGGCTGCCAAGCAGGACGCCAGCTGCCAGGGAGAAAGGCAGGGCCCCTCAGAGCAGGCCAGGGCAGAGATGAAAGCAGGTCTCCCTTTGCGTTAAGGACGCCGGCATTGACCCCCTGGGCCCCTTGACAGACCCGCGGCTGACTTACTCCCCCAGCAGAGGCCGGGACCCTGCGCCCCCGCATCCCCCCCTCTGGGTCCCAGCACCTGCAGAAGACTTTTGCTGACTCCACGCCCCTCCTGGGCTCAGGTGCTTCAGTCCCAGGGCTAGATCTGCATGCAGGGAGCCAGCGCCTGGCTCCCACGCAGCCCCAGCCACATCTTCCTTTTCCTGGGCTCAAGGACAGCCTGCCTCCTCCACGCCCTGCAGCAGCAGCAGCAGCAGCAGCAGCAGCAGTAGTAGTAGCAGCAGCAGCAGCAGCAGCCGCCACTTCCGCTGAGTCAGCTGGCACTTGGCCTGCTGCAGCGCCAGAAACGGCTCTCAGCCGCACAGACGTGACTGCATCGTTGCACCTCCTGTCCAGGTACTGGAGGCCCAGGGCAACCTTGGCAAAAGGCCCAGCTGCGCCACCACGCCCCTGCACGGCTTGGCTACCCCCGCAGCACCCAGGCTGCCACATCGCAAAGCAGACCAAGATCCCCCCCTGCCCACCAGCTGCACTTGAAGGAGCCCAGCTGTGCATGTCACCTCCCCCTGCCCCCACAGCCCCTCTCTTGCAGCCAGAGCCGTGGGAACCCCGGAGGGGGTCTCTGCCCAAGGGAGGCGGCCCCCATGCCAGTATCGGAGTGGCTTTGGGGACAGCGGAGCACC